GTCCACAGTATGGCATTAAACTAAACTGTCCTGCATTTATTCAGCTGCAGGAGTTATTTATTGATCAAAAATGTCTTAAAAAACATTAATTCTTACTGTGAGTGGGGTCGCCTCTCCACAAATCTAGTCTCTCATAAAGTCTCCATGGAGATTTTTAAGTTTACGGTCATACTGTGGAACATTCAAGGTACATCTCCATGGACAAGCAGACAAGTTACACAGTGGACTTTTAAATAGACTATAATTAAAAGGCCTTAGCTGCAATAAATAAATAAATAGTAGAATGAACTAATTATTAACCATAAAAGTTACTTATTCACCCTTCTGCAGCTCGAATCTGATCGTATTAAAATAAAAATAACAACATGGGTCAGTATTCAACTTTTGCTCTGTCAGCTTGTATACAGTGGAACTTTTTAAAATACACATTACACTGTGAGAATTTACAATCTTTGAAGAGGCTGCAAATGCTGATCTTCTAAACAGGAAGCAGCGAAAGAACTGAAAATAGAAAGGAAATGTTCACTTGAGATGTTTTGTATTCTGTGGACTCTCCCATGCAGCGGTGGTGTGTTGTGGTGTGGTGTTGTGGGTGAGCGGGAGTGTGATTTACAAGGCTTTTGGCTGAATTGGTCTGGACCTAAAGTGCACAGAGTCTACCAGCAGCTGTCATTGGTGCTGAATGTCGCATGCGGCTGCCAGGTCATGCCAAATAAACCCTGTCTACTATGGCTCTGCTCATATTTCACTGGTGCCCACTGCTAAAAACAAAAACAGGCTCCTAGCTTCCATAACAGTGAGAGATACAGGACTACATCATGCCATACTCCATAAAACTGTACAACAAATCACCCTTATGTAACAGATCACCTTCTGTCATGTCAATCACTATTTCATCTTTGCACTGTTTCTCCTTATGACCTTTTGTACCTAGGAGAGAGACATATTTGCATTACTGTATTTCTATATTTTTATTTTTACATATACATAATTATGCCTTATTTGAAATGGGTCTTCTGTTATTTTTGCTGTTTACTTTGAATTTACAATTATCGTTTATATTTTTGCTCTTTGTTTTTTCATATTGTGATGCGTGAGCTACTTGTCCAAATAATTTCCCTTGTGGATCAATAAAGTTTGTCTAAAACATGAATAGAGCACTCAGCATTTCCCGTATGGAAAGACAAGCTTTTATCCATCGGTTTTATTGTTAGTAATAGCATGCTATTAAATTTCATTATTGTCTAAGTGTACTGTACACATGACATCCACATATTGCTGTCGTGCCTCTGGGCAAGACACGTTGCTTACTTTTCTTACCGTCTGTGAAGAGCATCCGGCATAAAAACAGTACTTGAAAATCACCTGTTTGGCAATGGATGAATAAAAAAAGATTAGTAGCTGCTGTTGGTATTATGATAGCTACAGTATGTATCCAGACTTGTGTCCTTAAAGGGCCCTTATTACGCTATTTTCTGACGTGTGTTACAATGTTATTTCCTCATCAAAAGCATACCTCAAGCTGGGTTTTGCTTCATTCACACGTTTAACACACAAACACCACCTATAGAGTTCTTCTCTCAAACTGAAAACACTCTGTTCCACATTGTGATGCCATGTGGTAAGACAGGAAATGCTCCACTGTGCTTTTAAACTCCATACACATTAACTAGAATCATTTTGATAATTTCACCCCTGTAATTGCAAATCTCTTCTAAACTAAAGGTAAAAGGTAGTTGTTAACTTGAAAACTACTGCTTCATGGCATCACAGAGCATTTTAAGCTTTGGAGACATAGACAAACTACTTAGGCTTACTCAAAGATGTGTGAATGAAACAAAACACAGCTCCGAGTATGTTTTTTGAGGAGGTAACAACGTTCTAACATGGCTAAAAGCTCACAATAGTCACTTAAGCATAATGTAGGACCTTTAAAAAAGATCAAATAAAATTAAATAATATTCTTTGTTCAACTTCAACTATACAAATATTCTAACTTCAACAAGTCAGAGTAAACAACAAAGAGCACAATTCAGCCCTCAGGCGTCGAGCCCTAAAGTAACTCAACAAATACATAGCTATAAATCCTGAAAACTACAGGCTTGGATGGTAAGGACTTTTACAATAACAGCACTTAGCAGCCCTGGGTTGGGAGGAAGTGGATCAATGGCACACTTCACAACATTCAGTGTAATTACAGGGAGATGAACACAAACAAAACACACATACAAAAGCAGTTTTTGGAGGGAAAAGCCCACGTTTATTAAAATGGTTCTATAACTTTTAAAAGACCTATTTTCTGATCTACTGTATGATATAATGTTGTTTCCTCCTCACAAACATACCTGGAATTGTGTTTTGTTTCAACACACAAACCCTGCATATTTACCTCTTCTGAACAAAAGTTTAAAGGTAGTTGTTAACTTGAAAACTACCTCTACATGACATTGCAAGGTGGAACAGAGCACTTTGAGCTTTGAACATGTAGACAGACTAATAATAAAAGGTTACTCAAACATGTGTGAATGAAACAAAATACAATTCTGGGTACGTTTTTGAGAAGATAGCAACATTCTCCATCCGTCAAACTCTTTTCTCTGTGGAGATATTATTGCTTTGTCTGGAATGTTTCACAGTATGGTATTAAACCTTTTTATCTTCATGGAGACCAAACCAAACCAGACCAAGTTACAGGTCAAATCTGTGGAGAGGCAACCCCGCTCACAGTCAGAATGCCTGTTTTTCTAGCTATTTTTGAGCTGTACCACCACCAGTGATTTAATAAATGTAAGGCAGGGCTGTTTAATGTCATACTGTGAAACATTCCAGGCAGAGTAATGACATATCCACAGAAACAAGCTAGTGACGGACCCCCGACCAAAAAATGCACCTTTAAAGCTCACAAGAGTCTATTTTGTGCAATGTAGGAGCTTTAACAGTGGAGCTTTGTCAGTCTAAGCTGCCACAGAGATCAAAGAGATGTAATGTCCAGCAGACGCACGCACTACAGGCACTCCAGCACTGCCTCTGCTTTAGTTTAAGGCTCTACTTCCGGAGCAAAAAATAGCTCTTCCTGTTAGTAACAAAGAATAGCTAATACATTAATACAAGCTTGGACATTATCGGCACATGTTTATAGTGTTGTATGCTAAGAGGGCACGCACTCAGCTGGGATCCTGGGCTTTGTTCTGGTTTAGCAAAGATTTTTTGTTGGCAGTGTGGGTGTATTCATCTGTGACAAGCAGCTTTTCTCCCTGTGTGTAGTAAAACCTGGAGCGTCCAATGTGGAATGGAGCCAGCGCACTCAAAAGCTTCTTAACTGCAGTTCACCCCCGACATTTTTGTAACTGATTCACAGGCAAAGCTTTAGACACAACAAAAGAGTAGATATGCTTGCCTGTGAAAACAGATTATCTGTACTTAAGCCAGTCACGATAATGAATATTGAAGCACGTTATAATACTTAAGAAAATATAGATGATAAATGATAATGTTGAAACCACTGACACGATAACCCTAAAGCAAAATTATCCTCCAGAAACTCTTCCAAATGTGTACGATTTAGTAGTTAATTTGTAAGTTAGTAGTTAGTAAGTTCATAAGTCAAACTCCAACAAGTAAAATCTAATCATACAACAGCAAAATAACAAAAAGAGCCCCTCTAGTACAACGAAAATAAGCCCAGGATAAATATTCATTCCCTAATATTAATGTTATATCTGAAATGTATTGAATTGTACGATAAGTCGACACAGTTGCCATTGTAAGAACCTGTCAGAGATAAAACTTTATATATCTCTATATAAATAAACTATATCTATATAAAAATATCTGTGTTGCATTGTTTTTGCAGACATGTTTAAAGGGCCCATATTCCGCTACTTTCTGATCTATGTTATAATGTTGTCTCCTCATCAAAAACATACCTGGAGTTGTGTTTTGTTTCGTTCAAACAGGTTTAACACACACATTTCGCATATTTTAGTTGAGTTCTTCTCAAAAACCGAAAACTCTCCATTCCACCTTGTGGTGCTCCACTGCGTCTTTAAACTCCATACACCTTCACCAGAATCATTTGGATAATATCAGCCCTAGAATTGGAAATCTCTACTGAACAAAAGGTAAAACGTAGCTTTTAACTTGAAAACTGCCACTTCATGACATCACAAGGCAGAAAAGAGCATTTTGAGCTTTGGACATGCAGACAGATTACTGATATATTGTTATTCAAACGTGTGAATGAAACAAAACGCAACTCTAGGTATGTTTTAAGGAGGTAACAACATTCTGACATGGCTTAAAGCTCGCAAGGGTAAATTTTGCGCAATATAGGACCTTTAATTATGTAGTTTGAACAATACAAAGCTAAATGCATTTGTCACAGAGCACAGTGTAAACCCCTCATGGCTCTTGTTGAACTCATGTGTCGAAACAAGACGTATAAATTTGAATAATTTTGACATCTTGATAAAGACACTTGTGATTACATGGCTGTTTGTGAATACATCCCGCTGTGGCACTTGCATCTGTTTGATGGTAGCATTTGTTCTGCCAAAGGAGTCAATCAAGAAAGCAGCAATGAGCGTTTCTTGTTGACCTAAATAACTTCAAAAAATATTAAAGATATCCTTAACTTTCTCCATTGACAACGTTCCAAAGTATGGTTTAACTTTCTCTTTCCATGGAATCATATAGGTGACCTCTAGAAAGCTTTAAGTTGCTTTAAGTGTACACAACAAAATCAATCCCATAAGACATTAACTATAATGTTTTTAGACTTTACTTGGTTCAGCTTCTGTAAGTCCATATTGAAACGGAAAAATAAATGATGCATCTCAAGGGGTTATCCAAAATAAATAAGTAAATCTATTTTTTACTGGTAGTTGAACATTTTCCATTGTCAGACTATGTAAAACCCATGGCCTCAAATTGAACTTCACAACTGAAAAACCCACGCTCTCACAAAGACAAGAGGCAATCTCACTGTGCTATTCACCAACCTGAGTGTCCCTTTTGTACTGTGGAGACACGTCCTGTTCCACCTGCTCGGGGCAGCTGGCCGCTCTGTGGTGTGATGACAGGGTCTCCCAGACGGCACATGGCTCGTTAGTGGCAGATTTCGTTCACGTCTGGGCTTTGGGACTGCTCATGTCCTGAAGGATGATTGACACAGAGAAGCATTCATTAGCCCCAGGTAGAAAAAGGACATCCTCTAGTCTGCCTCATCCAAGTTTGAGTTTTGTTCTCACAGTGTATGGTTCAAAGTCTTCTGTCTGAACACATTTTTAGGGCTGGGGTACCAGTACTTGACAATACTTTTTTCCCCAAGCTATTTTGGAACCTAATCCTATAGTAATGATTATTAGATTGACAAAAATTCCTGATCATTTTATGGTGAATGACTCTTACTTAATAGGGTATAACAGCAGTTACAGTAAACATATTCAGAGTAGAGTACAACTGTAATCCATACTGAACAACATGAATTTTTAAATGACAACTCTATGAAAAGTCATAAGCACTTTAATTGCTTCCAAATGTGAGGCCCATATTATATTGGTCAGATTTAGTCAAACTGGACTTGGTTTACATTAACGGCAAATCTTGAGCACGAATTGTCTGGCTCCAATTATGTTTTCAAAGTTTGTTTGGCATATTATTTCTGAACTTGACCATAGCACTCAAATTGTAACTGAAACTATCTTCAAAAGCCTCAAAGTAGTTTTTAAATGATTTTGATTATAGCCAGATTTTGAAGTATGGTTTGTCTTGTAAAGTCATTAAAATCTTGTCCAAACATAACTTTAAAATAAAGTGATCTATATATAACAATATACAATTGTGTAGCAGCAGATTTTTAAGATAATGTATTTATAAGGCAAAGCTATTGTATGAAATTGCAAAGAGACAAAGACAAAAATTCCACTGGTCACAGGCAGGCAGACTGGATGTTTAAAAATCTACCATAGGCTTAAACAAGATCTCTCCCTGTCTATTCAAGGTTGAATGTGACCCGCTCTTGATGCTCAGTGGATGCTCATACATCATATTTCTGCAGCAGCGTGACTCATAATTATGATCGATTAAACTGAAGCTCTCTCCTTTCCAACGCAATAGTTTCATAGATGCTGTGGATGTGACACGCATTAAAAACAATTCTAACTGGACTGCAATCAATGTTATGCTGAACCACTCGTATGCATTTTCTTTCAGCTAATAAGCGATGAAAAACTATAAAATAAACATTATCTAGAACATGTCAATTCTTTTAGTTATTTCAAATAAATGCTGTAAATACAGAAGAAAAAATATGTATATTACATTATGTTGAGAATGATGTTAAACTGTTCACAAGAGTCCCCAAAAGGTTATGTTGAATTTATTATTAAAAGGTGCATTGTGTAACTTTTCTGGTGGAGGGTCCATCGCCTGCTTGTTTCTATGGATTTGTCACTGCTCTGCCTGGAATGTACTTTACATGTACTAAATTACAAGTGGTATTAATCTAATCTACTTGTCCATATGACTAACAAAAACTTTACTGTATTTTGCAGAGCGGACCGAGGGCAGGCCTGTGGATGGACTGTAAGCAGCCCAGATGGAAACAGAACAGGCCAGACATGAGACGGAAGAAACTCTGAGATTTGCCACCTCTTCGAACTTCCCCCAGAAAGGATGCCAGTCTTTGGAGGGCCACTCTGTGCATACTGGCGAGGATACAAACTGGAACCATTACACTCCAAGCACAGTCACCAACTTCATGAAGAGGCACCGGGAAAGCTCCAGCCCTGCGTCTGTGGCAGGGCTGTTGGACCCTGCATCCCACCAAATGAATGGGGAGATGCTGAATGGGGAGATGAAGCATGACCAGTCTTTTCTGGTTCACCAGTCTAAAAAACTCAAGGTGGATCCCTCACGTTTAGCTGATGGCTTTTCAGACTTTAATAAAGCAGCAGAATTTCAGTGCAATGTCCCGCAGACACAAATGAATGTGGACAAAAGAAATTGTAATTTATCCAATGGAGATGTATTTGGTCTAGTGAAAAATAAGCAAATGATTTCAAATGGTGCTACACCACCCCCATCTACCATTGAAGGCACTCCTGGAGATCTTTTAGAGAAAACATTGTCTCAGTATTTTCCTGAGCACGTATCAATTGCACCTCAAACAACCAAAACACAGATAAATTCCTTCAATGGTTCAGATGCAAACAGACCCCCAAGTGAGGGTGCTAATAGAAACTTCCCCTCAGGATTGCCAGCATCATCCCAGATGCCTGTTGGCTATGTTATGAATGGTTTCTCCAGTAGTTATGGAGAACATCAACACCAGCATCCACAAAGGCAGCACCAACCTGCAGGTTACTCGAGAGGTCAGATGGCCCAAAATACAAATATTGTAAATACTCTCCAGCAGCATCCAAATGGCCCAGAAAGATATCCTGAAAAGGTGGACCTTCAGGGAGTCAGTCAGAGGTCTAATCACAACTCTTTTGTCAATCATAATGCTCCACAATATGAAGTTCAACCACAGAGGTATCAACAAAATAGTAGTAACAGTGCAACTGATGGTATGGCACTGCAGTCTCCAGTTCACACTGGATTAGCCAATGGGGTTGAAAACACATCTCTAGAAGCAGCAAGCATGTTGAATTCCCAATCACCTAGATGGACTGAGCGTAAGTCTCTGCAGCAGCCGTACATGAATACAGCCCAACCCCATTCACAGGAGAATAATATGTGGCGGAACCACAGTACTGAGTCTCAGCAAAGAACCTCCAGTCCACAGGTTCAAAAACCAGTGCAAAGAGCTCATGGTACATTTCCAGACAGCAGTCAGGGGTTAAACGCTTTGCTGTCACAACAGCGGGACTCTCCTCTAGCACAAGGACACTATACTTCAACCCAGCACAAAACTGCCAGTGAGTGGCAACAGTCCCAATCTAAAACACCTCTCCCAGATCAGAGTTCTCCTCAGCAAAATCACACAATAGAGAGAATCTACCAGGGCAACATTCAGCCATCAGAGCCCTTAAGGGAACAGCAACACATGCATCCTCAGCGGCCACTTTCACAGCCCCCACAGTATGATGGACAACAGCTCAAGTCCCCCATCTACAGACCTCATAGTCAACCACAGCCGGGCCATCAACCTCTAACCTGCCAACCAAATGCGAATTATGCCGATGAAAAACGTAGGCAACATCTGTATTCTCCCAACTCAGGCAGCACTAACCTCAAACAATTTCCACAACAGCAGTCCAACAACCACTGCCAACCAACTAATCATGTTGACTATCCCCTGCCATCTGCACAGAATCAAACACAACAGGTACAGGCTAAAAGTGAACAGCAGAGGAGAACATCATGCTCTCAACTACCTCTTCCTCCTGGAGATTTTCAGAAACATGCGGCACTGCGAATGCATCTCTTACAAAAACAGGAGCGTCACGGTCCTCCACAGCCCACTCAGAGCTCCGGTGATCTGAAATATGGTATTAAAACCATAAAGGAAGAACATGTTGATATATTTGATTTTCCTGGTCCCAGTCAGCAGCAGTTGGCAATGAGGGAGGCACAAGTCAAACAAGAGCCCCAAGAGTTCTTGTGTGACCAAAGCAAGAAACCGGGGAGTATCCTGGCCTCCATGGAGCAAAGTCTGAAACAGTATCAGCTCTCCCCAGTGTTTGAGAAAAAGTCAATTGTAATCAATTCAAATAAGGTCAAGGTTGAGTCTTCAGGCGCAGTCACAATTTTATCAACAAAAACAGATCTAAAAACAGAGGAAACAGGGATGCCAACTTCCCCAGCGCTAGCTTTGAAAAGGGCCCCTGATTTAACTCCCAAAAAAGAACACCTTTTACAATGCTTTATGGACTCTCCTATGAAGCTACTTGATACACCCATTAAGAATCTCCTTGATACACCTCTCAAAACACAGTATGACATCGCATCCTGCCACTGTGTTGGTGAGTATTTCTGCAGTCAAATTAGGCACCCTTCATGATAAGCATTTTACTACATATCAATACATTTTGCAGCTAAATAACACAACATTTTTAAGTACTGTCTACTTATACTACATTAGTTAACACCAGACATCCAGCTACATTAAATTCGATGGCAACAAAATTAATCATTGCTATTTAATTGTCTGATGAGGAAAATAACAAAAATATTTTATTGTCTAATTATATTTTGTTTGTTTGTTTGTTTAGAACAAATTAGTGAGAAAGATGAAGGTCCGTACTACACTCACTTGGGTTCAGCTCCCAGTGTCCAAGGAATCAGAGAGCTGATGGAGAAAAGGTAGATCACATCTTTAACACTAACAAAACAGATCATAAATACATAGTAACTTATTATTACTTTTCTCATAATCTACTTTAAAGGTCTGGTCTAACAGGCAAAGCAATTAGAATTGAAAAAGTAATCTATACCGGCAAAGAAGGAAAAAGTACACAGGGTTGTCCCATAGCTAAATGGGTAAGTAGTAAAAAGTACCACATGAAAGCAGATCCACCAGATGCTAAATCTTGTATTCATGTATTATTATGATCTACTATTCACAGGTGATTCGGAGAGCGAGTTCTGAAGAAAAGGTATTAATTCTGGTACGCGAGCGGAATGGTCACAGCTGTGCGTCCGCCTGCATTATTGTAGCAATGCTGGTCTGGGACGGTATCTCCCAGAGTCTTGCTGACTCTCTCTACAGTGAACTCAGTCAAACACTGACCAAATATGGTGCTCACACACAAAGACGCTGTGCTCTTAATGAAGAGTAAGTTCACTTAATTCATCCCTGCAATATTCAGTGCCATACAATACTGTATCTGAACATTTTATTTCAGGAGAACTTGTGCATGCCAAGGTTTTGACCCTGAATTCAGTGGAGCCTCCTTCTCATTTGGCTGTTCCTGGAGCATGTACTACAACGGCTGCAAATTTGCAAGAAGCAAGATACCAAGGAAATTCAAACTACTTGGGGATGACGTTAGAGAGGTATTATATAGTTTTAAAAAAAATACATAAAACATGTGTTCATTGTTATTGACTGGGACAATTTGCTCCATATTATTTTACAGGAAGAAAGGCTAGAGAATAACTTTCAAAATTTGGCAACATTACTTGCTCCGCTCTATAAAACTATGGCACCAGAAGCTTATGGAAACCAGGTAAGCAACGGAAATACTACTATATATTCAAAATAGCAAAAAAAGTTACTGAGCAATAGCAGCTATTTTAGTAGTTTTCCCCAAAAATAAACAGTAGAAGCACAATCACAAGCAATAATTGATTGTATTTACTACTACAAACAAGTAGCAGAACATGGGACAGTGAATTGATACTGACTTTCCTGCCCCCTGCTGTCCATTTGCCATTCCAACATCATGAAACATATTTTTGTGCTACTTTTAAGGCACTATTGAACCCTATTAAATAATCCTTATAGAAAACAATGTGTAAATCATAATGTTCAAAGTTTAAACATTTAAATGAATAATGTGTTTAACTCTGAACAGATTGAACACGAACACAGAGCAACAGATTGTCGACTTGGACTCAAACCAGGACGTCCCTTCTCTGGAGTCACTGCTTGTATGGATTTTTGTGCTCATGCCCACAGAGACCTTCACAATATGCAGGGAGGCAGCACTGTAGTAAGTGCTTCTTCATAGTAACATAATTTAAATAAAATAATCATGTAAATATTGCACATCAACATTTCACACCCTTGCTTTGAAGGTATGCACACTAACCAGAGAGGATAACCGGGAGATTGGGAAAATCCCGGAAGATGAGCAACTCCATGTCCTTCCTCTTTACAAGCCTTCCAGAACAGATGAGTTTGGCAGTGAGGAAGGTCAACAGGAGAAGGTCAGGTCCGGAGCCATCCAAATCCTCAGCGCTTTCCGCCGTCAGGTGCGCATGCTGGCAGAACCAGCCAAGTCTTGCCGGCAGAAAAAGCTGGAAGCAAAGAAAGCAGCTGCTCAGAAGAATGCTATGCTGGAAAATGAAAAGGCAGAGAAAGCCCTTCACATTAAGGCTAAAACTGAAAATAATGAAAGCACTTCTTTGAAAACAGGTATGATTTTTGATAATATGATGTTTGTGTATGTTTTGGCAAAGGAGTAATTTTTATTTATTTATTTTTTTCTGTGTAAATTAGGCCCTGTTCCAGGAGTAGTGGGGGCACGCATGGATCCAGGTCAGCCACATCCACACCATCCAGGCAATGTTCCTTACCAGCAACATCACTTACAGCAGCAGCCTCCACAGGCGATTCCTCCTCCTTATTCTGGCACTGCGAACTCAGCTAACTTTCCAAGGTATCCTAATCATCCAGGGTCTTGTCCAAGCACTTCCAAATCAGGCAACATGTATCCTCCACAGCCTCCAACATCAGTGAGCTCTTATCCTTCACCTCACCATTTACAAAGCTCTTACATGAACGGGTCCAGTCACCCATATCCCGGTTACCAACGCAATGGCGGCATGCCTGTTGGCTACCCTCCCTTCTATGGTACAAATCCAACACATATGGATATGTATCAACAAAGATCGTCCCCTCTAGAGCAGCAGTATGGAGTCCCTCAGCGCTACAACTATCCACCAAGGTATGGTGAGCCAGGTTTACAAGTCAATGGGTATAACCAGTGTGGCATGGGACCTGTTCATCCAATGAGATCACCTTACCCTCCATATGCCCCCAACGGACCTACCAACGCTCATTATATGGACGCTCACCCAAGACCACCTTCCGCCCACGGAGGTCTTGGCAATCAATTTCATGGATACCCAAGTCCATACCTCACACCTAGCCCTCAAATAGTACCTCCAGGTCAAGATCCATTGCTAAGTCATGTCAAAACAGAAATGACAAGTCCACATATGCTTCCTGGTCAAGTAGGTGCAGAGTGCCAAATGCTGGCAGCACCATCAGCTCTGCAAAACGGGAACACTATGGGACCCGGGATCAAACAAGAGCCTGGAACGCCACAGACACCAACAACGCCTCAAAAGCCAGAAGTGTGGTCAGATAATGAACACAACTTCCTTGACCCTGATATTGGTGGGGTGGCAGTTGCACCTAGTCATGGCTCTGTACTAATTGAGTGTGCTAAACGTGAGCTTCATGCTACAACACCCCTTAAGAACCCAGACCGCAATCATCCAACGCGCATCTCTTTGGTGTTCTACCAGCATAAAAACCTGAATGAGGCCAAGCATGGTTTGGCTCTATGGGAAGCTAAAATGGCAGAGAAAGCTCGTGAGAAGGAGGAAGAAGCTGAGCGGAATGGGGGTGAAGTGACGCCCACCAAAAGCGGCAAAAAGGGAGCGAAACGTGAGCATACGGAGACAAGTGAACCTGGGGAGCCTCCTTATAAGCGCTTCATCCAGTCGCTGCTTGAAGGGTCTTTATCCAGCACAACCAACACATATGTTAGTACATCTCCTTATGCCTTCACCAAGGTCACCGGTCCTTACAGACAGTTTGTGTAGCCAAAGGTGCTAACATAAACCCACTATCAGCTGTCATGCACTCTAGCATCCATTGAATAGGAGGAAAATGTACCTTTTATCTTGACCTGTATAACAACTAAGCTTTATGGACTGATAAGGATGTACTTCCTCAGACAACATTTGCAAAAATCACACTCTTTGGTGCTTTTGGTGAGATACATACAAACCTATTTTTACTGGAAACAAATTTTCGCTTTTGGCTTTATTTTTGGAATTCAAAATACAATACAACACTGTTTTTGTACACATTCTTGGTGCTAAATTACATGCTGTTTTCTTTGACTTTTTAAGCCTTCACACTATGGTTACAGCACTCAACTTGTCAACACTGATCATGCTGTTACACTGTCATCTGAAATGATGAGCATCGTAATTATTTAAATCAGTGTTTAGCAAAGCACTTTGTAAAACCTGAATTGCAATTTGGTATTAAACGTGTGAGCAGGTTCATGTAACACTTTCCTACATTTATACTGTTAATTGAGCCGTTTGAATGGTGCATTTTTTTAATTTTCATTTCTAGGATTTTTTTAATGAAATGTTTTAAATGTTAAACAGGATTATCAGACAAATCTGAATTGTGAATATTACATGTAGTTTTATGTCTGTGGTGCTTAGTGCTTATACTGAGTAACATAAAACAGGGTAAAGCTCAGTGTTGTCATTCAGAGGGCAGCTGGGGTGCTGTTGGGACTACATATTGTATTGTAAAAGTGTAAGATAAACATGTGAGATTTGTACAGTAAATTAATTTTTCATTTTCTGGAATCATGGTTATAGTTTTGTTGTTGTTAACAATGGCCTTTTTATTGCTTTTTATGGTTTCAGCAGGTTTATGTTGTAAGGTGCTACTTACCCTATAGGACACACAATGCCACTGAAAAGGCTTTTAAATAATGTACAGTACAAACTTTTCACATACCTCAGACCTTGTTTGGCAATAGGATGACAGCAATCCTGTTGTTTTGGTTTTCTTTATGTAGATAACCCTAGAAGCAAAAAAAGTTCTCTTGCTACTTTCTTAATAATATAATAGAAAGTAAACGGACATTTTGAGATGAAATCAGGGAAATTCTATTCTGATTGTGCGGTCATTGTCATAAAGCCTGTATCCATTCTTTACTCATTCAGGGACTTGCATTGCATCCCAAATAAGGTATCTGATTGAAAAAGTCGTTGAAAAATATTATTGTAGATGGGCCTAGTACAATTTGAACTAAAAAGTGATGCACTGAGCTGACAAAGGGAAACTAAGAATGACTTAAGGAGCAATTACGTATATAACTCTGAAGCGGCTATTTTTTGTGTCTGTGAATAACAAAATTTATTTATGACCACTAATTAAGTGTATGTTTTCTCCCCCTTATATTTGAGTGAATAATGTGATGTGTAGCAAAACAATGTTTCATTGTAGAATCACTTCACCCAATTGTCAATTCATTCTCTTAGAGCACTTCATTTCTATCATTTTTCAATTTAATATGTAATAATGAATGACAAAAAAGTTTTATTTAAACATATTGTAAATGTTAATAAAATAAATTATGTCAGTGTATATACCAAGAATTTGTATTGCAGGAAAACATCAGTTTGTTGGTGATGTAGGTTGTGTTTGTTAGTAAAAGATTAACCAACTACTACAGGAAAGCGTCACGATCCCAGTTTATCCATAAAGTTTGTGTAAATAACAATGTTTATGGTTTTAGTACCCTGTCAATCAGTAGTGGTTACTAGTTTTTCTTAAATGTTTCAGTTGTGTTCTTTTACTCTACATTGATGTAATGTTGAATGATATTGTACAGAACCCAGCGACAGTAGCAGGATGGGGATGAGAGTCAGAGCGGGTAAAAAGCATAGCCATACTTGAAAATGCTTCAGAGTGTTTCTGAATGATTCAGCATTACTTGAATGACTTTTGAGGATTAAGCTAGTAATTAATACAATTGATACAGGCTTTGTGCAGTTAGACACTAAAAGGTATACTAAGTGCAACACGGTGCCTCATTTTAATAGGCTTTGTTTGCTCCCCTGATGATTGGTATGCTACAAAAAAGAAGTTAAAGATGGGTATATATACTGTAAGTATTGTAATGTACTGAATGCAGTTTATTTGAAAGCTGTTTATTATATCATTCCTGATATTGCTGAGATGTGGGTGTTTTTTTTTTTTTTTTAATAAAATGTATATTTATTTGAAACTTATCTCTTGTCACTATTTTGCTATCACATGAATACCCTCTACATTTAAATGAGTGACATCAATTTAACTTTAAGATTTTTATTGTCCCCAAGATAAAAATAATAAAAAAAGTTCACAAAATCAGGCAGATAAAACATAGTATATTGTTCACATAACACAATTTATAAAGTTCGCCAGCCAGCAACACAACTAATTGGTGTATGATTTTTAATAATATAAATATCTGCTCATGTGCTCAATGATTTCTGAAAAGGTGTAGTATATGGCACTTTACACAGTTTTGTCTCTTACCAACAGCCGTAGCTCTTACTATGAATACCTGATACTGATTACGTTGGTGCTGTTGGCTTTACTTGCTCTTGGTCCTCTAGACAAAATGCCACTTGTCCACTGCACAGAAAAAAAAAAACACAATCAAGATAACGGTAAAAATACACACGTTGCCTCTAAAGTCCTCCTACCAACGGAATGTGTCTCTCTCTGTGTTTTAAAACCCTGAGTAAACCAGGACTAAACTAGGTCTAAACCAGGCCTAAATCAGGTCTAAACCAGAAATAAACCAAGTCTAAACCAAGACTAAACCCTAAATAAACGTGGACTAATCTAGGTCTAAACCAGGCCTAAATCAGGTCTAAACCAGATATAAACCGGGTCTAAACCAAGACTAAACCCTGTGTAAACGTGGACTAAACTAGTTCTAAACCAGGCCTAAATCATGTCTAAACCAGGTCTAATCCAAGACAAAACTCCGAATAAACCACAACTAAACTAGGTCACATGAGTAGTTCTGATCATGTTGGTGCTCAAAAAATGTTGTTAACTTGAAAATTACCACTGCATGACATCATAAGGTGGAACAAAGCACTGTGAGCTTTATGCAGACAGCCTAATACAGGGTTGTGACTGAAACAAAACACATCCCCAGGCATGTTTTTGAGAGCATTCTAACATGGCTAAAAGCTCATAAGTAAATTTTAAGTAATATAGGACCTATGTCTATATTAGTGGAGAGAAATTGATTGTATTAACTTACCATCTGGAGACACAGGAAGAGCACTGCCAAATGCAGGTGCCTACGATCACACACATCATAAAATTAAAAGCTGATAAGTTAATGCTCATATGTTATCATGGGAAATTAGAGGGTTTTTTTACCGACTGGATCACAGCGTTCGCTTTTTCATCACTGCATATAAAAGGACTATCGCAGCAGGACACATTTTTGCTAAAACATGGCCAAAAAGTTAACTCTTAAATCTAAACAACACAGACTGATTAGGATTTTATGTAACCTACCAGTCGATGTCCCCAGCAGCAGATTTCTTGTGCACTAGTGCCCTCCAGTGCTCATGGGTGGATTTAATTATCTCAACTGCAAAGTCCTACAGAACGCAATAGTACAAGAAGAATGTGTGATTATGAATATTTCTAAACAAGGGGACAAGTTTCATCTTACAATATTTAACTACCTTATCTTTAAACTGCCCATCAAATCCAAACTTGTTCTCAGGTTTGCCATCTGGAACTTTATACTTCTTAAACCATTCAATTGTAGCTTCTAAGTGACCAGGTCGGCTCTTACGAACATCTTCTATGGCTAAAGGAAAGTAAAAGCAATTAATTTACAACTGAAAATTCAATATTTTTACAGTATTGCATCAATTTCTTGTAACCAAACAGGCTAATAGGCTTGCAGCTTTATGCCACAGACTTCAGGTAATCACATTTGACCATCATTTCACCCACAGTTGAGGTTTTGAGCATCTGGGTCTTCAGCGTTGATGGCAATGACCTTCCAGTCTGTTTCACCTTCATCTATCATGGCTAAGATCCCCAGCACTTTGACTTGGATCACTTGACCTGGACGGCACACCTGAAGAAAAAATAAATAAAAATAAAAATCAATCAAACCTTCATCAACAAAAAAGAAAAACAGGACTTTAATGAATGTACCAAAACCAAAACCTGTAGTTTATTGTTTACAAACCAGGGAGTAAAGCAAGTAAATCTGTCTTTGCACGATATTTTCACCATTTGTATCTCACGGAAAATAATTATGATTTAAAATGGTTAAATTATTTCTTCATATAGTCTGGACTGAAATGGAGCAAAGGATCATTGTATATCCGTCTATATTTCTAGCTACTGCATCATCAAAACAATGACTTCAAGCAAAGAGACTTGTAATTTGATATATTTTGGTTATATTTACATCCCTAGTGAAAACACAATTGATGATAACTCACCTGAGAGCCTATATCACAAACATCTATAGGGTCATTGTCACCACAACACTCTGTATTTTTGTCTGTGTGGTTTGGATCCTCCCACGTCTTGCACGAAAATAAGACAGTAACACAAAATCATCATAGTAACAAATAATACAACCTATATGCAATAATAGTGTTAATATTTTATAACTGTACTCACCTGTGGGAGAGCTCCATAGTTCCAAATATAACCTTTATGAGGAAAGATATTTGCCACGTATCTGAGCTTCCCTTTCTTTACATCCTGTTTGATCGGATTTAGAGGTTCTTTTGTAGCAATCTGAAAAAAGATAATTTTATTAGAAATTAAATCCACAAAAAGATTGAAACATTTGTATTTATTGTTACCTCCATTTTGGCATTTGACCATCGAGGTACTTCCACAACCATGTTATAAAGCACCTAAAGATAGAGAGGTCACTGTCTCATCTTCCGAGAACATGCTGACAGATCATCTATTTGAGGAGTTGTCCTACCTCTGAGTCACTCTTCTTTGTCTTCTTTGCTGGAACGCCATTATCCTGCAAGGAAAAGGAGATTCTTATTTTACCTAATGCAAAATAAAGAATTGGATGTAATGTTGAGGAGTTTACCACTTCTTTCTCTGCAACAAGTGGGATGTCATGGAATGGAGAAATGTACTTTCCCTCTGAGGTTTCTACAAAAATACAAGCAATACATTCATCACAGTACACCTACTTCACTTATCCATGTCTGATTTGATCTATAGCAGCTGTAATACTGTCCTCCCTATCACCTCCCATTAAGTACAAGCCAAAATGGAAATACAGCACAGATTCAAGCTACAGCAGCATCGCGCTAACAAGGTTAAAATATAATCTAGTTTTGAATTCTGCCCATTTACAACGTCGTGCACATGCAGTAGTCTGTGTTCAAGGTCACATAACTAGGTGTGTTCATACAACATAACTAGCTTAACTTGGGGTGGACACACATTTAGATTCACAGCTTTATAAGAAATGCAGAGAGCAGAGAAGCTTGTTTCATAGTGACAACTTACTAAAATAAATCCGGTAGTCGGGTGCATTGGGGCGCCCTCTTTCTTCTGTGAGATAGTGCATGTTTTGTCGTAAATACAGTTGGTGTACGGCAGCTGCTTGTGTGACCTGGTTGTGTCCAGAAGCTGGAAATGTAGCTAAAGTTTTCAGAAAATAGCCAGCCGAGCAGCGCGACAGCAGCGGTCTCATTATAGGCTCCTCTCCGGTTCCTGGTTCCCATTCGTCACCGCTCCACGCGCATCCGCGACCGCGCAGGAGCACGAGAGCAGCACGAGCTCCGTACGGCCAAACCGTGAACGAGAGACTATGACCACTTCCGCCACGAGCTTTCACAATAAGATCCCACGTGCTGCACAAAATCTAATTATCAACAAATCAAAATAGATACACAGTAGCGCGGAAATTAACTGCACAACAATTAGGCAAGTTATAGACACTAACTTCAACTCAATAATCTACAGAAGGCAGATCTTTATCTCATGAAAAACATACCGGGACCTGCGTTTTGTTTCATCCATACATGTTTGAGTAATGCTGCAGTTTTAGTCTACATCTACTACATCTCCAAAGCTCAAAATGCTGTTTCTCTGTATCATGTCACAAATCAGTAGTTTTCAAGTTAACAGCTGCCCTTTAGCTTCTGTTCAGTAGAGATTGGCAATTCCAGGGTTGACATTATTCAAATGATTCCAGTGAAGGTGTATGAAGTTCAAAAACTCCGTGGAGCACTTCCTGTTTTACCACATGACATCATAAGGACCTTTTAAAATAGGCCTAAGAAATGTAAAATTTTACCCGTTGCTAACTGGTATTCTACTAATAATACTACATTTTTTTACTGAAAGCTGGTTCCATGCTTTCAGACTGACTAAGAAATACTGCATGGAAAAACAAAGTGTCTTTTTAAGGGTAGGTAATAATAATACTAGACATCCTTATTTACACAGGACAGTCCCAGGTTTGAGCCCCCGTCCCAAGAGATTTATTCTTAACCAGGGATTTGTCCCAGTTTTAAACAAGAAATGTCGCAGGTGTCCCTATGTTTGACCAATCTGACACCTGCCGACAGTAAAGGGAAGAATAAATTGTCATTTGTTTAGGTAAAATACAGAAAAGCTGCTTGAAAATGACCAAAACACAAAAGAAAATGTGACTATACTGACTCATCTTAGTCATGAATGGGCCGAGTGTTGCAAAATTTTCCTTAATTACGCACTCGTTTCACAATTTTATTATTACCAACCACCACAAACCACGGATGTCTCAGTTTTTGAAAATCTGGTTACCCTAAATAATAAACAGGAAAACATGCATGCATATTTGGCTTTGAACTGCACAGTATTAGTGAGAAAAATTGAAAACAGAGGTCTTACAGTTTGTGTATGTGTGATTTTTCATCTCTAATTAGACATTAATCGATGCATAACAAACAGTGCGACAAAAATAATGCTATTTATAATTATAGATCATATTTTTTACACTATGATAAAATGCAACTTATTAATTTAGGTATTTTGTATTTTGTAACTAAATACATCTTCAAAGTATTCCATCTCTTGGTAATAACCTATAGATGTTTAGTCCCATGGGGATAATGTCCACAATACATCACAAGTCAGATCAAAGTCCATATGTGTCCATTGTATCATGAACAAACACTCACCTCTGTTCTGCCCCCTTTGTGTAGGTTGATAATCTGGTCAAACAAATGACACACACTGCTATCAGCAAAGCCATAAAGGCAGTTTATTAAAAGCATTCATTTTACCCTGGTTGCCCCGAAAGCTTTGATTTTCTTTTGAACCATTAGTGTGGTTAATGTGGTTTCTTATCTTAAAGCTCCTATATTACACACAATAGACTCTGGTGAGGTTTAAGACATGTTAAAATGTTGTTACTTCTTGAAAAACATACATAGAGTTGTGTTTTAATTCACACATATTTGAGTAACCCTTTATTATTAATCTGTCTACATCTCCAAAGCTCCATTCCACCTTGTGATGTCACACCATGGTAGTTTTAAAGTTAACGGCTACCTTTTACATTTTTAGAAGATGGGCAATTCCAGGGCTGAAATCATCCAAATAATTCTAGTGAAGGTGTATGCAGTTTAAAAATGCAGTGAAGCACTTTCTGAATTACTACATGACATCACAAGGTGAAACAGAGAAACAGTGTTTTCCGTTTGAGAAAAATATGCAGGATTTGTGTGTTAAACATGCGTGAATGAAAGAAAACAAAACTCCAGGTATGTTTTTGATAAGGAAACAACATTATAACATAGATCAGCCATTTAAGGCATATATTTATTTTATTCTGTCTGTCAAGGATTTTTTTTTTTTCAAGTTGGAACATTGACGACCGATCCAGAGAGGACAAAAAAGACTTGGACATACTCTATAGACGTGCACAACTGGCAATGAATTAACAACTGCTAAAAAAAAAAGTTATGCCCTTCTAAGTGGAAACAAGATCAAGATCATGTCAAATACGTAACCGCAATTTATAATACTACCACTAGGGGCCACCAAAATTACACATTAGATCAATAAATGTGTGTTGTATTAACATTATGTAAACAAGTTGCTTGAGGGACAATGTAAATACAATCAAATTTACTGTCAAGAAACCAAAGTTTCCACAGCGTCCACTGTCAGTTTTTATAGGTCTTTATGGGTGTCTTTGCTGAAGGACATAAAAAATAAAGTATAATAAAATATGTAATCCAGTGACATGTATGTTTTTTTCAACATTCCTAGCTATTTGTAAATGTAGGCCACTAGACTACTAACTAACTTAAACTAGACTGAGCCAAAATTTCAGTTACTCTATTTGCAACATTGTAGATAATACGGCACACTAACTCAACGTGTTAATTGTTAGCTAGCACGTCTGCCATACAGTCCCTCTTAGCCTTTAAAAACACTGGTCCAGAGGGAATGTCCCGGTGAGGAGGCATGTCTACAGCTCTCTCTCTGACAGGTATAGACGGGGGGGCGGAGTTACCTGCAAAGCCTGAGCACCATACACCTGTTGCACTTCCCACAGCCCTGTCTCTCTCTGCTCTCTCTTCCCCTTTGACTGGACCTGAGTTCAGGGCAGAGGAGGGATCACCATGGACCCCAAAGAGAAAGAGGCCACTGGCTGTGAAAAAGAGAAAGAAAAAGACAGAACTATCAAAAGGAGGAACCGGCCGGTGTTTTTACGTTACCTGGAGAGAAGGAAGACTGACACTATTGTAACTGATGAGAAAGGTGACATCAACGTGGGGACGCTGGTGAGGAGGAGTCAATCAGACAAGACGGAATACAGCGCAAAACTTAAAGGTAATGACCCCTTTGGGGAATAAAACTATGGAAACAACCAAATATATACATTTCATATAAACAAAAATGAGCCATGGTAAATGTATACACTGTACAGTAGATAGTCCCAGGCAATGGCATCAATATACAATACATATGATGTCAGTAGTGGTAAAAGAGCCTGTGCTACTAAGCACCTGTTGTGTTACTATGCATTCAGGAGGAGATACTCCCACTGGGATAAAGCCACATATGCAAAGTGCTCCAAACTCAGGCGTACAGGAGTGGCTCTAAGTGTTTGGGACAGCTTGTAAACAAGACAGCCATCAATAAAGACAAAGTACAAATTCTATCAATCAATATTTTGCATAAAAAATATTCAGTTTAAACCCTGTGCTCCCAGTTGCCTCATCACTCACATTTGCTGACACAGTCATATCTGCACATAGTACATTTGCCCTTGTCTGTATGAAACTGGAATCACCTGTCCTTAGAAAGCAGTCACCGACATGGAATGCTACCCTTCAGGCAAAAGGACACTAATCACTAATAGACCATGGATAAAATACAAGAATAGTATGAAGAATTTCCTGTATTACTACCTTTCCTTTACTACTCACATGAGAACAATGACACATAGTTTAAAAGTCCTGTCACTTTTTAAACTTGTACCTGCGGAGATTGGATCTCCCTCACATATAAATGGCCTTTATCAGCACATCATTGTTTACTTAATAAAGGCCCTCTTCACCACTTTTACACTTTTTGTTTTCTTCAACAACCAGCATCATGGTGGTGAAAAACACAGAAGTGTTTTGAGTAAACCTACCCTACTTCACTCCATTCCCAACACGATTACATATTTACAGTGGTATTACCATTGCAAATATTGACACAACAATGACTTCAGTCCCAAGAGGAAGCATGTGATGTGCTGCAGGTTTGAGAGCTCATCTGCCCGTCTGACAGGTTGTTCAAGCCATACACGCTACCATGACAACAATACATGATTAGCCACTGTACTGAACATTTTTGTCATATTGCTGTTTTAATTCATATGTGCCTTTGGAGATGTTAAAGGTGCACTGTGCAACCTACTTGTTTCCCTGGAGATGCTATTGCTTTTCCTGGAATGTTCCATTGTATTAAATTCAACATTAAACATTTCTATCTAGCATTTATTAATTAGGGGTGTTTCAGTTGTTCAAACAATACAGTTCCTTCTGTGAATATGGGCGACTGTCCACAGATCTGAATTGTAACGTTGAGTAATATTGCAGTGACTATTGTACATTTTGCTGTCTGACACTCCAGTGTGTCATTTTGCCTCAATAGTGATATGTGATACGATGCTATAGCGTGTATTGTGTTCGGGGGCAGTCTGTTGGGTCCTTTACAATGAGCTGAAAAGTGAAAACCCCTGTATCTACTTTCATGGGAACACATGTGCTGCCAGCCAGGCTTTACTCAATATAGTGATAACAAATTAGTAAGTCTGTACAGTGTTAGGGTGAATGTATGTAGTTATTTTCATTTTAACAAGGTGAAGAAATTATGTTTTTTACTATTTAATGGTCCTATATTGCACAAAATGGATACTTGTGGGCTTTAAACCATGTTAGAATGCTGTTACCTCTTCAAAAACATACCTGGAGACGTGTTTTATTTCATTCACATGTTTGAATAGTTATTTATTGTCAGTCTGTCTACATCTCCAAAGCTCAAAATGCTCCATTCTACCTTGTGTTGACATGAAGCTTTATTTTTCAAGTTAACAACTGCCCTTTAACTTTTATTAAGTAGAGATCAGCAATTCCACAGTTGAAATTTTCCAATTTCCATTATTATCGAGTGTTTTCTGTTTGAGAGAAAACAGAACTCAGCCTAAATATGCAGGATTTGTGTGTTAAACATGCGTGAATGAAACAAAACACAACTCCAGGTATGTCTTTGATGACGAAACGTAATAACATTGTGGGAAAGATAGACTGACGTGGGTAGTGTTGTGTTTTAGTTTTAGTTTTTCCTCAAGTGATGCAGAAAAGAGGGAGCCACTGTCTGTGTGAATGTTCAGGTATGTTAGTTTGTCTTTGATGAGACAGAGACGACAATAAATGAGGTACAGACGACAATAAATGAGATAGAGATGACAATAAATGAGATAGAGATGACAGAAATGAGGTAGAGATGACAATAAATGCAGGCATGTCTTTGACGAGGAAACAACATTATAACAGTTCAGAAAATAGCGTAATATGGTCTCTTTAAGTAGACAAAGTTGACAAATTATTGTGATGTTTAGCGTACAGCCTGACTTTACAGCAACACTCTTGTATTTCATTTATCCAGCAAGTGTAGAAGCTTATATTATAGAGTATTTATCTGAGCCTGATGAAAACAATACAATAGTTTCCCAATAAAAACTCCTAACTTGATATCCCAGTGGGGGTGTTTTTCTCACGGGTGGAGGCTGTCGCAGATTCCGGGGTCTATTCACTTCGGAAACCCACAGAGACACTTGACACTGTTGAAAGGTGAATGTGATCCTCATACATATTTCTGTTGTCCAAACACAACTGCCACTGTAGCTCATCAAATCTGCTGATGAGGCAGTGTGTTTTAAACAAAGAGAATAAAAATACAAATGGAATGGAAGAAGTGAAAGATATTTGGGTATCTTCTGGCTAATGTTTTTTTTTTTTTTACTACACTTGAGTTGTAAACTTTGTAAACAAATTTCTGTATACTGAAGACAAAGTATTTTAACTTAAGAATACAAAGAGAATAAAAATACAAATGGAACGGAAGAAGTGAAAGATATTTGGGCATCTTCTGGCTAATGTTTTTTTTACTACACGTGAGTTATAAACTTTGTAAACAAATTTCTGTAGACTGAAAGCAAAATATCCTAACTTTAGATTTAATAATGGGCATGTTTTTGGTTTTCAGGTCAGTGGTGTATGTTCTTATTCAGTGTTTGTTTACATAGAGGCTTGTTTACAAAGAGGTTAACATTTAACAGGGTTTCAGATCAATTTTTTTTATATGACACTCACATTATAATAGTGCGCTCCTTAGGGATTTTAAAGGGCTTAAATTATGCTATTTTCTGATCTATGTTATCATGTTTCCTCATCACAAACATATCTGGAGCTGTGTTTTGTTTCATTCGCATACAGTATGTTTAAGACACGTATATAAAGTATGTTTTTCTCTCAAACAAGAAACTTTCTGTTCCACCTTGTGATGTCATGTGGTAATACAGAAAGTACTCCAAAGTGTTTTGAAACTCCATACACCTTCACTAGAATCATTTGGATAATTTCAGCCCTGGAATTGCTCATTTTGACTGAACTAAAGGTGAAATAACACTGACTGAGACAGATTAATAACGCAGGATTACTCAGACATGTGGATGAAACAAAACACAACTCTGGGTGTGTTTTTGAGGAGATAACATCATTCTAACATGGCTTAAAGCTCACAAGAGTCAATACTGTGTAATATAGGACCTTTAAGCTGGCTATGAACTAAGACTGCAAACAGAAATCCACCCCGTTATCTGTTATTTTGCATAGATTAAACTTTGAATGTAATAAAGTACTGTGGCTATATATAGCTACATGAAATCAAAATCTGTAGACTACTTAAAAAGCCAAAAGTGTCTACTGTGCTTTAGATTGGCAATAAATCACCAAAGTTTGTGCAGTCTGATGGAGAAATAACAATTATATTAAATTATAATAGAGTAGATTTGGCCCATGGGTAAAAACACCTTAATGTCTTTTTGGTTTTCATTATTACTGAACATTTTGGAGATGAACATGTTGGAGAAATTGTGTCATTTATTTGGTTTCAAAGGTCAACGGGAGTCTTTTGTTTGCCGATTGAGAGCACTCTGTCAAAAATGTTTAATTCAAGGTAGCAAAGGTCTCTCGCTGGAAATGACTAACACAACATTTATGATTTGACTGACCCTTATTATCACTTGTGAAAATGACAAGTGTTTGAAGTATGGGATGAATAACCAGATACAAACAAAGAGTATTTAATCATTGATAGACATTATTTTGCACACTGAGGCTCAGTTTCATATTACGTGATCTTTAACCCTAATAAAACATAACTAGTATGAATTAAATATAATACATCACTTTAATGAGAACACTTATTCATAAAAGAGATGTATTATATTTAATTCACTAGAGCCCTTGAGTTGTGTGCGCCTCCTCTGTGAGTTCTAACCTGTTCCTCTTCCAGCAGCAGCAGCAGCAGCAGCAGATGGACTGCCCGGACCCAGCGTAGCATTACATCACCTCCACCATTAGTTCCGTAATTTGACACGGACCTCGGAGCGCTGTGTCACCTCCCTCTATCACTTTCTCTCCAGAGCAGGAAGTAAATCTTGCTGTGGAGAAGATTAGGCAGAGAGGCAGCATGTTTTACAAATAGCAGAGGCTGTTCAGGCTTCAGCCACTGTGTTAGATAGGGTTTATAGGGATAGCCTGCAGATTCACACTGTAACTGGATCTAGAGGAGTGATGTTTCATTTTAATTTTAAACAGGAAAAGATTAAAACACATTAATCAGGCCTGACTGATTCCCAGCAGGTTCCTGTTCAGCAGCAAAGCACAGAAGACAACCACCTACGCCTATCTCAGTATGATAAATGGATTTTTGTATAAATTAAATTTTTGAAAGAAATATGCAAAATTTAAATTTTTTTCTAACTTTTTTGTAAATAAATGTGAGTTTGGCCATGTGTGAATTTCCCCATTTCAGATGGTTGTGATTGACAGGTGGATTAGCCAATCGAGGCCATGCAGGGGCCATCTGTATCAAAATAAAAAAATAAAAAAAAGGCTGCTTATGAGGCAAATAAAAAATGAAGAAAATAAAGAAAAAGGGACTGAAAAACATGGTGGATTTCTGCTGAATCAGAGCAAAGCACTAAACTCTTAATCTATGGTAGTGTGAAATAAATCTGATATTATTTGTAAATAGTAGGTGACCAGTGACGTGTCACTGAAAAAAACAAATCTGATTGCAGCTCTAATTGTTTGGTTCTGGCTCAAGGCACAACTGAGGGAGACAGACCATCTGTATAAAAAATACTCAGAGATATCATTCTGGATTTGTCAGGCAACCTCGTTGTAACAGTGTGACTGAGTTGTGTCTGCTATTTAAAAAAAGAAATAATGCTTTGCAGTATTCAATGATTTTAATATATTATTATGTTGAAGTTATAGTGTTGAGGATGAATATGTAACAGCAAGTCTTGTCTTTCTACCACAGAGAAGCTGACCCCGCTCGACCTGTCCACACCCACGTCTCCAGCACTTGATCCTGAGGAGGTGCGCTTGAGGAAGATGAAGCGCAGGTCAAAGGTCATCCAGGAGCTGGTGCAGACTGAGAAGGACTTCCTCACAGACATGGAGCTGTGCATCAGGGAGGTGGTCCAGCCCCTGAGGAATATGCAGGTACAGAGAATATTAACATGGATCTTATTTTGCACACTTTCAGAGATATGCTCCTTATAAAGACAATTTGTATTTTCCTCAGTTGATACTTTGCAGTGACATCACACTGGGGGTGTTCTACATGTATATTTATAGCGGAAATGTTCATCAGTTATCATGGTAATGCTAAATTACCATAGATTGCTTGAAAACTGAAGAAAAAAACACAAAATTAATTTATACAACACATTTTCAGGAGCCTGTGATCAATACAAGCGAGGTGTTTGATTTTCAACAAAAAGATGAGCGTGAAAAAATAGGTCACCTGTTGTAGTTCCAGCTGAGTTAGTTCTATCTGGTCAGATTAAAGTCTAACAAAGCCTCAGCATGCCTACAGTTAGTGTCACACCCCCAGGGAATGCTGATGTCATCAGATGCAAAGTATGTATTGTTTGTAATACAACACTGACCTACAAAAAATATGATTACTGCTATTGAACAAAACATACACAAATCAAAGAAATGTTTTATGAGAATATTCTTATGTTTATGCAGGTTGTTGATGTGGATCGTCTCTTCACAAACATGGAGACAGTGTGTGAGGTGTCAGCAGCTTTATACCACAGACTGCAGGAAGCAATGGCCGAACCTGATCCAGAAGCAGTCATCATTGGTACATTTCGTGTTCTCTCTACATTAGGGCTGTGTAATTAATCAGTTATAATCTGGGGGGGGGGATCTAAAATTCTAACTTAAGTCAAATGCAAAATCTAATTTTTGGAGAATAAATCAACAATTTTATTTTCAGGCAAAAACTCCCAGCTCTCTTTCAATTATTCATCTATAGTGGCACAAAACATTAATAATCAAATAAATGAAATATATTCTATACAAGTTAATGTTTAAAATCTTTATGATTTCAATTTTTAGCCAAATAATCATGATTAAATTTGTTGTCACAATGGAGCAGCTCAAATATATGTTTCAATGAAGTGCTTTTGTCTTCATACTGTTTTGATATTCTAGGGGAAGTATTCATCCAGACCAAAGCAGTTCTAGAAGATGTATACAAAGTCTACTGCTACCACCAGGAGGACGCCAACATGGCTCTGAAAGCTTACGAGAAAGAGGAAGAAGTAAAGAGACATTTCACTGCATGTGTATTAGCACTGAAGTAAGGGCCAGCTACTTCCTCTGCTCTTATAAACATGCAATGTGCTATAAAGTGACTTTCTTTTTTTTTGCCCTTTCAGGAAAATCTATGAAAGAGAGTAAGTATTCAAAAATACATTTTAAAGACGTACTTAAACCATAACATATGTAGATCATGGTTTCACATTTTATTTATTGTAAACTGCCCATATTGATCTGAAATGGCTTAGTAACATAAACAAATTGATTGACTTCCTGTTCAAAACTGAAACAGATTTTCAATTGCATGTGTTTCAGTTGAAAATGGCTGTGTGACATTTTGAACACATATGAACCAGAGTCTAAATCTTTCAAATATAGTGCACAGTACAGAGCAGTGGGCTGAGATAGGAGGTGGGTGAGAAGAGAACTTTTCAGAGCAATACAGCATTACTCAAACATGCAGGAATCATTCAAAATATTACCAAGAGTAAACCTACGGTGAGGGAACACCGTTATAAAATGATTAAAAGCTTTTCAGTCTACAGTATTTGATGTAATATATGATCTAAAATAATTGCAGAGGAAAACCAAACTTGTTAGACATGGGGTCGCTGCTGATCAAGCCGGTACAGAGGGTAATGAAGTATCCGTTGCTTCTTGGAGAGCTTTGGCAGACCACGCCGGAAAACCATCCAGACTACCAGCCAGTGCAAGAGGCCTACACAGCTGCCAAAATAATAAACATCAACATTAATGAATTCAAGAGACGCAAGGACATTGGTAAGGTCTGACATGTTTCACTTTTTAACTATTTTTGATCATTATTTTCATTAGTCTTCGGCCCACTTGTCTAATCCCAATATTCTTCAGCCAATTTACAGTGCTTACTTTGCAATGACATCACGCTAGGGGTGTTCAACATGTATGTGTATGGTGGAATATTCAGAAGTTACCACGGTGACACAATGCGCACTTTAGCAAACACTGCCAAAAAAAGTTTTAAAAGTCTGAAAACCCCAGGAAAAGCACAAAATGGGTTTAAACAACACATTTTCAGGAGGCAGTGATCAATACGAGCCTGGTCTGTAGTTCATGGTCCAGTTTAGGTGTTTGAACTAAAACTGTTGTAGAAGTACAAAAAATAACAAGCGAATGGTGTCAAATAGGGCCTAATTATACAAATGTACAAGTAAAAATAAATAGACTAAAAATATTGTAATCCAAATATATCTCAACTATATACAAGAGGTCGTGAGGAAAAACAGTGCAAAGATGAACCAATGATTGACATGACATAAGGGTGAGATGTGGTAAAATTGTAGGGAGCAGAGGTGGGACCAAGTCATCATTTTGCAATTGTCAAGTAAGTCTCAAGTCTTTAACCTCAAGTCTGAGTCAAGTTCCAAGTCAAAGACAGGCAAATCCAAGTTGAGTCTCGAGTCACTGGCCCATAAGTCCAAGGCAAGTCCAAGTCATTTACTTTGAGCTTCAATTCATTTCAAGTCTTTAAACCAAAGTACCAAATAGCTTAGACTTTTGCAGTTCATATGACTTAAAAAATAAATTGTACTTGTACTTGTCATAGTATATTTATATATGAGTATTTATAGAGTATATAAGAATTGCAGAAATGCATTTTTTTCCTTTTTAAATGTCTTGACAAGATCTTAGAGTGAATCATTACAGTCAGAATAGAAAGAATTCAGATTTAGAAGTGCTTTTCAAGTTGTCTCAAGTTACAGGCCTCAAGTCTGAGTCAAGTCCAGTCAAGTCATTGACCTTCAAGACCAAGTTGAGTCCCAAGTCTTTGTCCATTTTATCAAGTCAAGTCTCAAGTCCTATAAATAGTGACTCAATCTGACTCGAGTCCAAGTCGCGACTTGCAAGTCTCCACTTCTGGTAGGAAGTATTATCTGTTACATGTTGGTGAGTTACTGTACAGTTGTATAAAGTGGGTGAGCAGGAGTTGAGAAACATTTGTCCAGTGTCCTCGTGTCCCTCACTGTGACAAATGACTCACAAATGAATCACAGCCGATCACGTGACCAGCTTTACGGATCAGTTTGTCAATCCGTCCCATGTAATTTGAGAGGGGCTTGTTTAACGGCACAAATCAGCTCGCCTGTTCTAGACCCAGCTAAGTCCAGTTCTTTCTGGTCATATTGTGTTAATATAAAGCTAAGATTAAAGTCTAATACAGACCCAGAAAGAGCAGAGCCTACAGTTAGCACCACACCCCCAGGGATGTAGATGACATCAGCTGCAAAGTATAAATAGTATAACAAACCATTTCAAGCTCTCTAAATTTATCTCTGAAATATTGAGATCAACTTGTGCCTCTCTGTTGTCAGTTTGTAATTCAATACATTCTTATAATAATATATCCTCAACATTTTCAGCTCTTTCTCTGTTCCATGCTTCTATGTCAAGCCTAACCAAAATGACATTCTTTTTACTTAGTGCTTTTCTTGTATTTTTTCAGTCACACCTCTTTTATTTTTGTGCATTTTCATTCAGTTATGAAATATAAACGGGTAGAGGATGAAGGCACACTGAGGGGCAAACTGCACAAGTTCAACATCCACTCTATAAGGAAGAAAGGAGACAGGTTTGCCGGATACCTCAAGATTCTCACAGGAGTTGAGCCCCAGGTAAAAATAATGAATGATAATGATAATGAATACACAATAAACAAAAATCTAGGCCTGTCACGATAATTACTGTATCAATTTACAATATATTTTGGGGCTCACTGGCTCAGTGTTTGTTGTGTCCAATTTCTTTGTAATAATCTGAAATTTTTGCTATTTTTATGTAATACGGTAAGATTTGAGCTGTAGAGGGTAGATTAAATTATTTCTATTGTAACTTTATTAATTAATTCTGCTTTTTGTTTGTTGTAGATCAGGTCTTTTAATGATACAATACATTTAAAAATAGGTTTACTGAGATTTTCCTGCATTGTGTCAGAGGCAAAAAGTAGTTTCAATGTTATTGTTTATCGCAATATTTCTGTGTAAGAATATATAGTCCTTCAAAATGTGGTGTCATGACAGGCCTACAGAAATCTAATATATAAAGTAAAAAACTAACCTTATTTTGTTATTGCAGGTGAGAGATGAAGTCTTTGACCGTGAAGAAAAGCTCTTCAGGAGTCTGGAGAAAGCAGTCAGGCAGATGGTCAAGAATGTGCAGTGTTACATGCAGGACACCCAGGTTTGTACTAAATCTGTGTGAATAAAAAAAAACAAATGCAAACAAATTTTATTATTTATGCCAATTTAATTTATGTGTACAGGAAATGGTATCTGTAGCTGTCCAGAATGCTCACGACATGGAAAAAATTATCAAAGAATTCAACAAGAATGACAAGAATGGCCTTTATCATCACAACGGAAATGACCCATATAAGCACTTTGTAAGTTTTTTATGCACAGTAAGTCACCTTGACCTTGAATATGGCCTGATCAGTTTACATAGCTATCCTCTTCCAAGTACAATAACGTCATTGTGTGCCTATAAACCCGATCTCAGCACTGCTCTTCTTGCTCACTCACCTGCTCACAAAAACTGGTCTGTTTGTCAACGGAATAACAGTACTCAATTGTGTTCCTTCCAACCAACTCACTGTCCCCACTATTGTACAGAGTCACTTTGTCTGGTGGAGGGTCTGCCGTTTGCTTGTCTCCATGGAGATGTGATTGCTTTGCCTTGAATGTTCCCCATTATGGCATTAAACTCAACTGAGACAAGCCAGTGACAACATTAATTACTACAACCATGCTCAAAGTAACAATGCATACTATTCTAGGTATTTATAAGCATTAATATGGCCTATTTACTCGGGACATTCCCAGTTTTGAGCCCTGTGTCCCCTGTCCCAGCAGATTTATCCAAAACCACCGTTCCAGTTTTATACACGAAATGTCCCGGGTGTCCCTATTTTTGACCAGTTTGATCTAAACTGGACTAAACTAAGGTTAAACCAGGACTACATCAATTCTAAACCAGAACTAAAACAGGACTATCACAGATTTTGACTGATCTGATCCCTGCCAGCAGTAAAGAAGAGCATAAATCCGTGTTTGCAAATGGCCTTTAAGTGATAAAATGCATCAAAATCTGGTCACCCTAATATAGCCATAATTATATACATTAAAAATTGATATAAGTTTAATGCCATGCTTTGGAACATTACAGACAAAGGATTAACATCTTGAGGAAGACAGGTAAGTCACTAGAAAAGTTACATTATGCAGCTTTAAAAGTGCAGCCACAACAACTGTCAACTATTTCAGATTGGTTAGTAATAGTTTAGCCTCTAGTTTAATGATACGTTCACTTTAATATAATACAAGATTGATGCATTTACATGTCTGATAAGGACAATGCTAGAAGTGCAAAAAGTTTCAAAGGATGCAAAATGCTGTAACTTAACTGTAGAAAGAAGATTTTTGTAAACCAGATTTAACATATTATATTATGTTTATTTATTATGTTTATTTATTTCGGACAGTAATACATAGAACATAAATTAAAAAACAAAAACAAAAAAACTAAATAATAAAAAAAAGACAAAAACGTAAATACATAGATATAACACAAAAAGTAACTATTTCTATTCTATAATAACAGGCAAAATAAATGTTACGTAGAATTTTCCTTGTGTCCGAAAAAGGAGTGGGAGGAAGTAAATACTTATATTTAACCCCACCCCTTTTTTCTACAGTCCCAAATTAACGAAGAACAAATACAGACTTCTCATTTCCTGTACATTATAAGCAATAATTGCACAGTACCTCCATTGCATTACAATCTAACAGACAACAACAAATATATGTATATTATGTACACAGATATAGTACACATCATATACACAGATATAATATATACATACCTACATACACATCACATACCCATGCATACCTATATATATATATATATATATATACATATATACACCCATATACATACACATACATATACATGCACACATATACCCTAAGCACTCATTTCTTCCGCACAGTATTTTGAAATAATTAATTTTTTAATTGCCCTTTTGAATACATGTATATTCGAACAAAGTTTTAATTCTATTTTCAAGTTGTTCCATAATTTCACACCACAAACAGAGACACAAAAACATTTTCTTGTCGTTCGAGCACGAGGCAATTTAAAATTCAAAACGCCTCTTAAGTTATAGTTTGTTTCCCTTTCACAAAAAAGTAGTTGAAGATTTTTTGGTAAGTGCTTATTTTTAGCTTTACACATGACTTGTGCAGTTTGGTACAGAATCAAATCATTCAGTTTGAGTAATTTGGCATGAATAAACAGTGGATTAGTGTGGTCATGAAATTTGACATTATAAATAATTCTTATTGCTTTTTTTTGAAGTTTTATCAATGGTTCTATTGCAGTTTTATAGTTATTGCCCCAAATTTCTGCACAGTATGTTAAATATGGTAAAACCAGTGAACAATAAAGTGTGTAGTGCTCTGTGATCTAAGACATACTTTGCTTTGTTTAATACTGCAATACTTTTTGATATTTTATTATGTATATATTGGATGTAGGCTTTCCAGTTAATCTTCTCATCAATTATGACCCCTAAATATTTATTCTCCTTGACCTGCTCTATTCTTACACCTTGTATCTGTAACTGTATTTTTTCTTCCTTATAATTCCCAAATAGCATTATTTTAGTTTTATTCAAATTTAGAGATAATTTATTTGTGTCAAACCATATTTTTAGCTGTATCATTTCAGATGTTATATCAGCTAATAACTGTTGTATGTTGTCTCCATAACAAAATAAATTTGTGTCATCTGCAAATAACACTGCTTTAAACAATGTAGACACTTTGCATAGATCGTTAATATATAAAATAAATAATTTAGGTCCTAACACGGACCCTTGTGGCAGGCCACAGACAATGTCCTCATGTGAAGAGCAGTGTTCACCCAGTTTGACAAATTGTTTTCGGTTTACTAAATAACTTTTTAGCCAATTTAAAGCTACCCCTCATATTCCATACCTTTCCATTTTTTTAAATAGTAATTGATGATTTATTGTGTCAAAAGCCTTTTTTAAATCTATGAATATACCCGCTATTATTCTCCTTTGATCAATGTGATTGGTTATTGCTTCAATTGAGTCCATCAGAGCGAGTGATGTTGATCTGCTTGTTCTGAAACCGTACTGACTATCACTGAGTAGGTTGTGCTGACCTATGAATTTTTCCAGTCTAGTGTTGTAGAGCTGTTCTAATATTTTTTAGAATTGTGGTAGTAGAGAAACTGGTCTGTAGTTGGTAAATTCCTGCTTGTTTCCAGATTTAAATAAAGGTATGACTTTTGCTATCTTCATCTGTAGTGGAACTGTACCAGTTTGAAATGATAGATTGAAGATGTGTGCTAATGATTTGGCAATTACTGTAATTATTTGTTTTATCAGGGCCATGTCCAAATCAATGTAATCAGTTGATTTCTTATTTTTACATTTCATGACTGTATTGACAATTTCCTTTTCACCCACAGGGGAAATAAACATGGAATGGGGATTTCTGTCAATTAGTTGTTGGCGTTCTCCTGTGTGTTGAGGGATTTTGGCTGCCAAATCTGGACCCACATTAGCAAAGAACTGACCGAACTTATTTGCCACCATTTCCATGTTATATTCATCTATATTATTATGTGTAAAGAATTTCGGATAGTTTTCTGCTTTTGCTTTATTATTTATGACACTGTTCAATATTTTCCATACCTCTTTCACATTGTTTTTATTATAATCTAATAATTTCCTAAAGTAATCTCTCTTACTTGTACACAAAATTGTAGTTAATTTGTTTTTATATGTTTTATATCTAGTCTCTGTCTCAATCGTTCTCTTTTTTATAAAATTTCTGAATAGACTATTTTTCTTATTGCAAGCATTTTGAAGACCTTTTGTTATCCAAGGGTGTTCTTTATATCTACTTTTTTTATTATAGTATACAATTGGACAGTTTCTATTATATAACTCTAGAAATATTTTTATAAATTCATTGTATGCACATTCTGCATTTTGGATATTACATATAGCATCCCAGTCTTGAGAAAGTAAACTATTTTTAAAGGCAGTGATAGTTTGGTCTGATTGAATTCGTCTGTGGTATTGTATTTTTTCAGGCACTTTTTTTCTCAATCTAAAATCAGTAACTATGAAAACTGGCAGATGATCTGTGATATCATTTATTAACAACCCGCTTAATGTATGTTTCTCAGTGTCATTAGTGATAATATTATCTATTAGCGTGGCAGAATGTGCTGTTATCCTTGAAGGCTTTGTTATTTTTGGATACAGATTTAAACTGAACATAGTGTCAATACATTCCTCTGTAATTTTATGTTTGTATGGATTTAGCAAGTCAATATTAAAATCACCACAAACAAATATCCTCTTATGCAGTTTTTGGGAGTATGCTTCTTCTAACCAGTTTGTGAACATTTCAATATTAGACCCAGGTGCTCTGTACACACAGCTATAGCGATATTTACCCTAAAGATGACAGGAACAATAGTAATTTCATGTGGACTGTATTAGTCTACAGTGTGGACTACGGATGTAACAATAACTGAAATATCGTGATATCGTATCGTCAAAGTTCTCACAATAATATCGTGGACCATCACAAATATATCGAATTATAAGTCTTTTTGCTTAAATTAAGAGTTATGGTGCAGCAAAAGCTAAAACAAGACACAGGGAACTACATAGACCATGATCCTTTGCTCCATTTCAGCATAGACTACAAGAAGAAATAACACTTTAAAGTTTTAGTTCTTTGGATTAAGTCTTGTCAAGGCATTTTAAGAGTGAAAAAAAGCATATTCGCAATCACAATAAATATCGTACTGTGAGATGTATATCATGAAAATATCATACTGAATGATTTGGATATTGTTACATGCCAAATTGTGAGCCTCCCCACCATATCGTGAGCTTTCCCACGCAATAAATATCCTATCATGAGATTCATACCGTGACAATATCATATCGTGAGACTTGGATATTGTTACACCCCTAGTGTGGACAGGACAGCATCTACTTTTGTTAATAGCATTCAACGACTACGCTAGGTAATTTGTTGTTGTATGGTATGGTGTACTTTTTATTGTACAGTGACAGTGCACAACAATAAATTAAACTCTGCCTTTAGAAGTCAGAGGTGCCAGGTTGCTATTTTACACCTGTAGTCCATGAGAAGGTTGTTGGAAATACTGAAAGTACAGATTCAGTGTATATGGATAAATTGACCAAAAATAAATTAAAACAGATATTACTTAGGATTACAGTGTTGAAATACCATTCTAAAAACAACATACACCAGACACGCAACCACATGCACTCTTCCACCCTGTATTAAGGCCCAACATTTGTACACACATTCCACTTTCTTCTAATCATTCAAATCACACTCATCCATAATGTGCACAGACTTGTTTAGAGATCAGCCACTTCTTTGTTAGACGTGCAAACATTTGAAAACCTGTGAAGGTAAGAAACTCTGTTGGCAAATCATCCCAATGACTCACAGCGGCGCAGGAAGAAGAGATTCTATGAGCGCGGTCACACGTGGGAACAGTGCACTCTCCTCTGAAGCTGCTGTAAATAACTAGCTAGCATGCTAACCACATGATGTGCAATCTCATCTTTAATCTAAAATATGGCAAATATATACAATTTTAAACTATAAAATTTCACTTTTAGCTTTTGTTTACGGGTTATTATGATTAAAATTTTCGCGTGCATCTTTTGTTTACATGTTATTACGATTTTAACGTTCACTTTTATTGTTTATTTACATGTTATTATAATTTTAAATTTCAGTTTTAACCTTTGTTTACATGTATCTTGTTTACATATCATGATTTAAACTTCCACGTGCATCTTTTGTTTACGTGTTATTATGATTTAAACTTTGACCTGCATTTTGTTTATTTACATGTTATTATGATTTAAACTTCCACGTGCATCTTTTGTTTACATGTTGAGATTTAAACTTTCACGTGCGTCTTTTGTTTACGTTACGATTTAAACTCACGTGCATCTTTTGTTTACGTGTTATTACGATTTTAACTTTCAGGTTTATCGTTTGTTTACATGTTATTATGATTTAAAATTCCAATTTTAACCTTTTTTTTTTTTTTTTTTTTTACATGTATCTTATTTACATGTTATGATTTAAACTTTCAAGTGCATCTTTTGTTTACATGTTACGATTTAAACTTCCACGTGCATCTTGTTTACATGTTATTATGATTTAAACTTTCACATGCATTTTTTGTTTACATGTTACGATTTAAACTTCCACGTGCGTCTTTTGTTTACATGTTGTTATAATTTAAACTTCCACGTGCATCTTTTGTTTACATGTTGTTATAATTTAAACTTCCACGTGCATCTTTTGTTTAAATGTTGTTATAATTTAAACTTCCACGTGCATTTTTTGTTTACATGTTATGATTTAAACTTCCACGTGCGTCTTTTGTTTACTTGTTATTATGATTTAAACTTACTCGTGCATTTTGTTTACATGTTATTATGATTTAAACTTTCACTTTTATCGTTTGTTTACATGTTATTATTATAAAAATTTCCACGTGCAGCTTTTGTTTACTTGTTATTATGATTTAAACTTCCACGTGCGTCTTTTGTTTACATGTTGTTATAATTTAAACTTCCACGTGCATTTTTTGTTTACATGTTATGATTTAAACTTTCACGTGTATCTTTTGTTTACATGTTGTTATAATTTAAACTTCCACGTGCATTTTTTGTTTACATGTTATGATTTAAACTTTCACGTGTATCTTTTGTTTACATGTTATTATGATTTAAACTTACACATGCATTTTGTTTACATGTTATTATGATTTAAACTTTCACTTTTATCGTTTGTTTACATGTTATAATTATAAAAATTTCCACGTGCAGCTTTTGTTTACTTGTTATTATGATTTAAACTTCCACGTGCATCTTTTGTTTACATGTTACGATTTTAAATTTCACGTGCATCTTGTTTACATGTTATTATGATTTAAACTTTAACATGCATTTTTTGTTTATATGTTACGATTTAAACTTCCACGTGCATCTTTTGTTCACATGTTGTTATAATTTAAACTTCCACGTGCATTTTTTGTTTACATGTTATGATTTAAACTTTCACGTGCGTCTTTTGTTTACATGCTACTATGATTTAAACTTTCACGTGTATCTTGTTTACATGTTACGATTTAAACTTTCACTTCTATCGTTTGTTTACATGTTATTATGATTTAAACTTCCACGTGCATCTTTTATTTATGATTTAAACTTTCACTTGCATCTTTTGTTTACATTACGATTTAAACTTTCACGTGCATCTTTTGTTTACATGTTGTTATGATTTAAACTTTCACGTGCATCTTTTGTTTATGATTTAAACTTTCACGTGCATCTTTTATTTACATCATTATGACTTAAACTTTAACTTTTATTTTTTGTTTACATGTTATTATGATTTAAAGTATTTTTTTAATAGTGAAAAATAGAAAACTTTTTAATAGTTTTCTTTCTTTTCGAATTAATAAAGTATTTCTAAATATGACAAACCACTTACTAATCGCCTGTTTCCGTCCCGTAGAAAGACGGTGTGGAGCAGCTGGTCCTCGCTCCTCTGTCCTCTCTGCAGGGCATGTTCACCGCGCCTCAAAAACTCATCCAAAAGCGCTACGACAAACTACTGGACTACTGCAGCCGCCTGGAGCGATCTTCCTCACTAGCGCCACCGCCATCTTCTTCATCTTCTCCGTCATCATCATCATCGGGTTCCCCCTCTCCGTCCAGTCAGTCCACCGCGCCAGATGACCAGGGCCCCGCCAGGAGAGACTATGAGGCCCTCAATGCCATGCTGGTGGAGGAGCTGCAGAGGTTTAATATGGCTGCACACACTATACTCATCAACTGTGTGGTTCATTTAGTGGCCCACTTGAAACAACTCATGGAGAAACTTCTTACTACCAGCTCCATCTTTGCATCAACTACCGGTGAGTTCATATTATGCTTTTTTTTCTGATCTGTTAAAATGTTGTTTCCTCATCAAAAACATACCTGGAGTTGTGTTTTGTTTCATTCACACATGTTTAGCACACAAATCATGCATATGTTATTAGGTTCTTTTTTTCAGACCTAGAGTGTTATTTCATACCTGACAGTTTCGACTGCTCACTAGCGTCTTCCTCAGAGTGGTCACGTGATGTTGCTGTGACGTGTCTGGTCAGCTAATTTAAACAGGTTTTGGCGCTGTCTTCCTACCAGTGGAGGCAGGACGACAGCGCCATCTGCAGTCCGACTTCCTTAGGACAGCATCCTAGGTGTGTGAGAGTAAAAAAGCCCAATTGTCCCGGTTTACAGTCCTGTGGGCACGTTTCCGTATTTCGATTGCTTCTTTAATCCAGCGGCGATGTTTGTTTTCCTCTGTCCCAATGATGTTTGCTCCATCCCAATCCATAACGTGGTTCTCTCTTTTACAATGGTGTTTAAATCAGCTGACCAGACACGTCACAGCAACATCACGTGACCACTCTGAGGAAGACGCTAGTGAGCAGTCAAAACTGTCAGGTATGAAATAACACTCTAGGTCTGAAAAAAAGAACCTAATAACATAGAATATTGGAAGACCAAATGAATCTCATTGGACTACAAATCATGCATATTTAGACTGTGTCATGTGGTAATTTGTGTCAGTCATCTGTTTTTAAACTTCATATACACCATCACTAGAATCAGTTTGATAATTTCACCCCTAGAGTTGCAAATGTCTACAGAAAAAGGTAAAATGTAGTTGTTAACTTGAAAACATCTGCTTCAAGCATCACAAGCCGGAACAGAGCATTTTGACCTTTAGAAATGTAGACAGATAATAATAAAAGATTACTCAAACATGTATGAATGAAACAAAACACAACTCTGGGTATGTTTTTGATGCGATAACAGCATTATAACATACTGTGCTGAGTTCTGGGGTAATAATTATAAATTAATTTTGGAACCACTGTTCATACTACAAAAAAGAGCATTGCGAATAATTCATAATGTTGGGTTTCCTGACCATATCAACCAGCTATTTATTGCTTAGAAAATTGTAAAACTCAAACATTTGATAAGTTTCTAGACAGCAAATGCAATGTACAAGGCAAAAAGGAAAGAAAAACTACCAAAAATATTCAGAAACATTTTATTGAAATGGAAAATACTTATAATTTAAAGGGAATGCATCTCTTTAAAATGGCCTGTACAAGAAGGAAAAGTTTTTGTATTTCAGTTTCTGGGGTCAAAATCTGGAAATCTATTGGTGATGAGGTCAAAAAATGCCCAAATATGAAAATGTTTAAACAAAGACATAAATAAATTATTATAGCTAAGTCTGTAGAAAAAGGAATTCAGTTAATGTTTCATTTGAATATACACTAAAACATTTTGAAATGCAGTTGTTTATTTTATGTCTGGAGTAAAGTGACTTAGTATTAGAGTCTGGCAGAAGCACATTATTGCTTTAATGGCATCATAAAAGTGGGTGGGGCAAATAAGTGTTTGCTTCTCCACCCTCCTTTTCAGAATTATTGATTTTGTAGACTACATTTGTGTTTAGTAACATTAAATAATTGCCTTTATGTATCTGTTGATTTCTGTTGGAACATAATGCAATGTATTATAATGTAAAACATGGGCATCTAATCGTTAATCTAAAATATGGCAAATCAATGCATTTGAAAACTATAACATTTCATTTTTATCTTTTGTTTACACTATTTTGTAAATCTCATAGCTCAGAAAAGTAAATTTAACGTAATATGGGACCTTTAATGTATTTTATTATGTATTTAAACTAATAATAATAATACTTGTTGTTGCATCTGTCCAGGCTCCCTTATCCAACATGGCAGAAGTTCAAAACAGCATCATGGACGAGCTGAGCAATCTCTCTTTTGTGAAGGACAACACACAGAAACTGATGGAGCGTAAAGTCAGCTTTGAGAGACAACGAGACAAGAAAACTACGGTATGAAACAATAACGATAACACCTAAAGCCAATAATTATGAATTCTAAAACTGAGACTATGGAATTGTAGCCTGTCTATGTTGTGTCAGTGAACTGTTACTAAGTAAGTTTGTTACGTCTTCAAAACCACAATGTTACCAAAACGCTCGCAGTGAAGGAGCGATGCTAAAGTTGCTGAAGCTACTCCACTCTCTCTTTTAATCTGTATTTATATGACAGAAGCTGATATGAGAGCTACTTTTAACAGCACTACTAACACCTAATTTGTTCAAACTGAGATTGGGTGTATTTACCAATTAAAATTAAAACCAAAAGTTGCACTACAATATTAATAATAAAAACTTAGCTGTTTTTATGATGCCAAATGTAGGTTGTTTTTTTTTTTTGCTCAAAGCTGTCATGTGTGCTGCCTACTCTCCTTCTGTACTGATTTTTGTGTTGGTTCAGCGTTAGTCAGTATAAAAATGCTACAAGTTAGAAAGAAAAAGACATGTTTTTTTTGTTGTTTTTTTAATATATCTGGTTCCAACAGTTCACATGAAGGAATGGTATCTTAGAATATTTGGTATCTTAAAGGTTGTATGGAGGATTTTTTTTACTTTCAAATTGTCAATGAAAGTTTAACATACCCTTACAGTGATGCAGCAGCCTTGTTATTATGTTGATTAAAGAAAAAAGAATGAAAATCAATCAACTGTGGACATAGTGAGGGCAGATAAACATCAGCCAATAGATAACAAGGCTACCTCATTTTCTATTGGCTGTTAGGTTGTCAAACTCCCTACGTTTCTTGTGTAGCTGACTCGTAGGCATGCAGGGATTATGTGGTTTATGCAGCGGTTCTTAGAGGCTTTTTTAAACTGTAGTTTCCTCGCAGTTCACACAAAGTTTGTTGAGATGGTGGACGAGAATCCACGACCAGTTCGCCACAAAAGAAAGTCCGTTTTTGAGGTAGCTGAAAGAAGAAGAGAAGGAGAAAAGGAGCAAAGCCAAACACGTGATTCTTGGAGATTTCTTCCAGCGACTGCGCGAATGAAGCAGACGAAGGGTGTAAAAACTGACGTGTCCGTCTCAAAATTATTTCTAGACAGGTCACTTCAGCAGTAATTCTGAACGCGCACTGGCTGTAAACAAGTGTGATTTCTAGAGTAAAGAGGCGGGAGGAGATGTTTCTACTGAAGGACTGTCGCTGTATTTCTTTTCCCTTTAAAAAATCCTCTATACAACCTTTAAGTATCCTAGTAAGTTTATGGTGGTAACTAGAAAAATGATATGCATCTAGACTAGAGCTTGCCTGTATTTATCACTTCTTACATCTTCAGATCAGCTGGTTCTGCGCTCACATACTGTCCTCTATGACATATACAAAAAGAAAGTAGAATTAACATTAAAATGCAAAGTTTGTATTATATTATGCGTGACTCACTGTTGTACTGTGCTGTGTTGTGCAGATGCCTGAGGTGCAGCATCAGACGGAGGAGCATCGTGCCTGGCTGCTGGCGGAGTACCCCCTGGAGCGCATCTACCAGCTCAAGAGGAAGTGCAACGGCTGCCAGGAGCAGGACCTGAGCCTGCTGGAGGGGGAGCTGGTGGCCCTTCTGGAGGACTCAGACCCCTTTGGCAGCAGCAGTCGTTGGCTCGTTCACTCTGGAGGTAAGTGTGTGCTCGTGAGAATGTACACACTGCGCAAAGTGTGTACATTCTCACTCACAGCAAGGAGGTTAGAGGTTCGAGCCCCGGGCCGTCCAGAGTTTTCTGTACAGAGTGTGCATGTTTCTGCCTGATTGTGCGCGGGTTATCCTCCAGGCATTCCAGTTTCCCTCGTCAATCCAAAACATGCACGATATTTTATTACTCTACTACGGTTTCATGCTTAAAATCTGTACCTCACTGTCTTCAGATGAGTGATTTGTAATTTTAAGGTGAAGGTGTACGGCTGATTGCACCTTCAAGTTCTGCCTTCTGTGTTGGTACAGTCTCTTGTGTAGTGGTTTCTAAGATACATTATAATATTGTTACTCTACTACTATAAATTGAAAGCTAATCAAATTAAATACAACTTCCAGAATCTTTGACTAAACCTGACCACAATCAGAATAAATTCTACTTTTGTAAGGTGGAATTAGTCATTTGCACATCAAGATGGATAGATCTTGCGATATTTGTGAGTTTAAATTTAGTATTGAGTGGGACACAGGCTCTATTCACGCTTACGTCACAAACCAGGAAGACGTTTGAAACATGCGATGACAATTCACTGTAATAAAACCCACTGAAGTAAATGTCATCAGTGGTAAAATGAAGACTGCATACCTATGTGCTGTTTGGAATCATCTTGAATTTGGCGCCTCATCTCTCCTAATCGCATGTACCCAGTCCCCTCAAGAGTTGTGTGTCAGTCAGGAAATTATGAAAACTGAGTTATAGTTGTTATAGTTATAGTTTAATTGTTGATTACCCGAACATAACGGAACGCTACAATGAAATGTAGATGAAAAAAACTGGGCCATTTTCTCATTTTTCCAAGATTTTGTCAGACTTACTACCGTGAACAGAGCCTGCCAGAAGTTGTCATCGCATGTTTCCAAACGTCTTCCTAGTTTGTGTGACGTAAGCGTGAAAAGAGCCTATGTCAATCTGGTAGGAGCCAGTTTAATGGGACTGGGAGAAAGTGCTTGGTTATTCCTCTCCTTTAGTTTCTGTTGGTTTGTTAGAACTTAAAGTAATTACCTTTTATTGAGTCTATCAGTGTATTGCGTGGTTAAGATTTGGATCCTCTCTGTGTTTTTATTAGAGTTTGTGTTGTGCAACTGAGCTGTGATTTCCCTCGGGGAGCAGAGAAGTCTAGTGAGAGACACAGGTCAATGAAGATATCAGCTGAAACTGTGCCATACAGAACCACCCGAGCCTCTTTGTGCACTGAATAGATCTGCATGTGTTTGAGAGCGTGTAAAAAAAACATCGCAAACTTTACCGTGCGTCACGAGAGTTAACGTCGCAGCCTCATTCCCAGTGGTGGCTGTCATGTTGTGGAGATGGTTGCCTCACGACAGCGTACGCACTAGCGCCTCTCCATCTCCTCTCTCCACATCTCCACTGCAGCGGCTGAGATCCCAACACCTTGTTTGGAGCCAGCAGTTGCTTGGAGTACAAAGCATCTCCTCTGGGTAATCATAACAAGGACAGAGAGACGCAGCCTGCACGCTCCATACGCCGCAATAACAAGATCTTTTATGAGCTTTGGAAAAAAACAGTGTGCGCGTTCTTCACAGGCTCGTCTGTTCCTCTGGGATTAGAGGTATTCCCAGGAAGTAGTTGCTGTCTGTTTCTTTCAGACGTATGAATATTCTCACATCATCCAGGCCTCGTTTCCAGATTGTGTTGACAGGAGCAATATGTGCTGTCATAACCTGTCACCAAAATAAATCAAATATGCAATGTATTTGTGTATTTAGATTTTGAAGTAAGTTAGGTTATTTTCTAATAGATTCCCAAACAAAATGTATAAAGATGTTTAAATGAGATATTATCACAGTGTTATGAACCAGCTCAGGGAAGTGACAAAAAACCAAGGTGGAGAATGGAATAAATAATGTTTAATTAACAGGAATGTAAAAGGGTAAATTAACAAAACATGCTAAAATATGTACAGAAAATAATCTAAACTAAGAACCAAAATAACAAGATTAACATATAATCTTGTTATTGTGCCAAAAAACAAGTCACGTAGGTTTATACAAAAACAAGTGACTAAACTAAGGGACACACAACAAAACTAAATCACAAGTGTCCCAAAGTAAAAATCACATAAACCCACAAACAGAATCGAGTGACAAACAAAAAGGCACAAAACAGAACTAAACTAAACCAACAGAGTGTCTCAACACAAACAAAGTCAGACACGTACTAGTGCAAACAAAGTGACTGACACGAAAGAGACACAGACACACACAAAAGGGCACGCTGGCCACAAAGGTCAGCAGCTCCAAACTGGTGTTGGCAATCTTCTTAAATAGAGGGAGGTGGCTGCAGGTGAGGCAGGATTGGCCCGGTGTAGAAGTGCCCCACCAATCAGGGATCAGGGTTCTTACAGCAGGAATTTAGGACAGCCAGCATAAGAAATTAAGGCTACGTTTATACGATGACGGCCTGAACAGAAGACGCAAAAGTGGCATCGCATCTTCACTTTTTATTCCGCGTTTAGACAAGTGTTTTTGGGAGGAAATTTGCATGAATACGGTGACGCAAAAGTGTGTGGAATTCGATTTCGTATGTGTGCCAGGCAGGTAGGTGGTGATGTATGTGACGTAAACGCGTACACGACCTGGGCAGATCTGACCAGAGTTTTGCGTCTTGGGCAGTGTAGATGAAAACGCTATGGCGGAAGCGTATTCAGCTTTTCAACTCTGCAGGATGGTTTCAGATTGTTGTGTTTTTAAGCCCCAAAAACACCGTCACCGTCTAAACGAAAGGCAGTTCAGATAAAATATTTTAATACATTTTATCGTTTTTACCCACAAGCATTCTCATGTAAACAGGCCCTAAAACACAAAAAACAAGGCAAAGAACTGGAGGTTCGGGGCTGTAACACACACTAATAATATTTTACTACAGTATATGAAGGTTAACGGTAAATGGTCACGTTTTTATACAGCACTTTTCTACCTTCAAGGCACTCAAACCTAAATCTAAATCTAAATCTAGGAACCACTCACCCATTTACACAGTCATATGCCAGTGTACGCAGGCACTAAAGGTGAGGTGGGTCAAGTGTCTTGCCCAAGGACACCACAACAGCATATATCTGTAGGAGCTGGAGTCACACCGCAAACCTGTTGGTCAGTAGCTCGACCAATGACGTTTATGTTGAGAGAAGGATTCGGACAACTAACCTTTGGATCAGTGGGACTCTAGTGTGGCCCCAGTCTGATCAGGGTCAACCAGTGTCACCGGGGCAAACTGTCAAGAGCAGGATTACATTTGCTGGAGCTTTCACCTATTTCGTTCTTGGGTATTATACTATGGTACAAAATTATTCTCTCAAAATAGAGTCAGAGATTTTTTTTTTGTAAACACTACATGCATTACATTTCCCCTTCTTTACATGTGCCTCCTGCAGGTGCTCAGGGCTACATGTACTCCACCTTCCTGAAGCAGTACAACCCGCACCGGGACTCTCAGAGATCTGGGCAGCCGACCCGGGAGCAGCCTCCGACCCAGCAGCCGCCGGCCGTCATGCTGGACGACGACTTCGACAACATCAGTCTGTTCGTGTCAGGCAGTGGCAGCAGCAGTCTGCGCAGCTTCAACCTCAACACCACCGACAGCAGCTACACCCTGTCTGGCCTGCAGGGGGAGCCAGACAGCCTCGAGGACCAGGGTGTCTCTGTGGATGGGGATGATATAATCGACGAATCTCAACAGGTACACGTTAAATTAATTGAAATCATAAAAATTACACAAGCAGCCTTCAGGGTTTACTTTAGATTATACCACAAATCATACCAAGGCTATAAATTCAACTTCTTTACTTAGAATGTGCATTTGTTTTTAAGGTGGGAAGCCAAGTATGATATATGTTTTCTCTGCAGTGTGTGCTATTTTTGGTGATGTATGTGGGTTTTAGAATCATTATTATAAATAGAGTTAGATAAGAATGATTTACAGTACTAGAAGTGGCAATATAGAACAAATTTGTAGTAAACAACACCCCCTAGTGGATGTAAAGGAAAAGACAATGTTTCCAATTAGCTTACTTTGAAAATGCGTAATTGGTTCATTTTCCTTGCCACTGCACAAATATTTGTCGTGACTAAACGTACAAATCTGTTTCCCTCCCACAGTTTTATGCTGTTTATGCATTTCAAGCCCGCTGTGACCAAGAGCTGAGCCTGCAGGAGTACCAGCATGTGCGCATCCTCCAGTTCTGTGACCTGGGGGGAAATAAAGAGTGGTGGCTGGCTGAGTCCAACGGACAGAAGGGCTACGTTCCAGCCAATTACCTGGGGAAAATGTCCTATGCTTGACAAGGCAGAATGTAAAAGACTGGAAAAACACTGGTCCAACTAAAGCCTGTTTCAACACAGGCAAACATGTTCTACTGCACACACAGACGGTCAAACTAAGTCAAATGTACCAAAAGTGTTTAGTTATCAACAGACAGCTATGTTTAATTACATTTCTTTGTAATTTATAACTGAGACAGTGAATGTGACTAGAACAAGGGCACTATCCTGAGCACTTTTGTACATCAGTGTTGGAAAAGATTTATTAAAAATAATTTTATTTTATATGTAATTATGGATGAAGAAAATTCTATGTGAAGATATTTATATGTGACCATAATGTTTAAAATGAAGTGAATTATAATTAAAAGTGAAATTATCTTATTACATGAGATATTTTACGCCTCATTTTCCACAATGTATCCCAGTGGTTCCCAACCTTTTTAGTCTTGAGTTTATTACCAGTACCAGCATTTATGTAATTATACATCTGTTTAGTAATAATTGGCAATGTACTTGTATATTATTTTTATATAAATTCTATGCCAAAATTATCCAACAGAAACATTCTTGAGGAAGTAAAATGTACTGCACAGAATATTTCACATTCAAATACCATTCAATTCTACTTTTCTGTTTAATCTGGAACCCCTGGTTGGGAAAACTGATGTATACCATAAAACACACTATCTTTGAACATTAATAAGAGGATCTTTTTAATGGTGTTGATATAAAGGGACATAATTCCCATGGTTAGCAGTAGTTAGGACAAAATGAGGCACACAGAGTCTGGCAGCACTTAACATAAATTCAAGTATAAGGGTGTCTTTTTCCATGTACATGACGTTGTAATTACGCACACAGATTTCTGGCACAAACTCCATATTGTTTACACATTTGGTTTTACTACAACAGTTACTACTTTATTTCTTCATCTTCTTCTGCGCTGCTTTCTTCTTCACCAGTTGTAAGCGTTTCATGGCGTTGAGCTGGGACTCCTGAGAGGTGGGCTCTTTAACCCCCGGTGCTGCTTTTGAGCCATTTCCATTATTCCCATTTCCTCCTCCATTCCCGCCAGACCCCCCGTTCCCACCTGCGCCCGCCTGGGTTGCTCCTGGAGATCCGGCCCCTGATGGCGCCTTCCCCTGGCTCTCCCCGCTGGACGATCGGTTTACTGGCTGCTTACCCAGAGTGAGAGGCGGAGGTTTAAGTGGAGCCTGACTGGAGCCGTTTCCATTACCGCTGCTGGCGATTTTAGCTCCCCCGAGGCCAGACTTTGCCCCCGCTAGTCCAGACAGTCCAACAGGTTTCTGCCCCGAGGGAGTGGTTAGGGTCTTGCTGCTGCTCGATCCTGAAGAGCCCAGCTTAGAGCTCGTGGGGAGGGCAGAGCTGGTCTTGGCACCAAATGCAGCCCAGCCCGTGAGACCGCTGCCTGAGGAAGTGGAGCTGCTGCTGGTGGGATTTGCTGAAGTGGTGGATGCCTACATGAGACATAAAATAATGAATTCAGAGATGAGAACAAAAATTAAACTATGAAACAAAAAAGAAAAGAAACATCAACATTTTACATTCAAATTGGGCTGGGTCAAAAGTATCGAAAATCAGATACTAATTGATAGTAAAACCAATCTCAAAACTAGATATTCTTTTGAGCAGGTAATGATACTAAATAAGTCACATCCACAGGAGAGAGATGAAGCTTTCCTGAATAGTTTTAGAATGATCTTGAGCTGTATTAAAACAATAATCCCACATACAACTAAGGGATTACACAGATACAAGACCACATGATAATAAAAATTAAAAAAATTAACACTGTGGTATCAGAATCGGTATAAAGTATTGAGTCTATGCCATAGTATCAAAATGGAGTTTGAATTTTTTGCATTGTGACAATACTACATTCAAATAATATTCAAGGTATTTGTATTAAAAGTGTGCTTCTTGCTCTGTGTTCAAAGAGTATTCCTGTAACCAAGGATCAAGACCAAACGTTAAAAACTATGAAGTTTGCTTTTTTTCCCCCAGAAGATTGAACCAGTCTGTGTGGATCTGTGTAGATAAAAGCTTGAAGTGAAAAGCCTTCTATATTAACAGGTGAAGATAAGTATATTGAACCAGTCTGCTTTATGACATTTGCTTTTCCATTAACCAAATTTTAAAACTATATGTACAAGACCTAGGTGTCATTAGAGAAGCAGCTAAATGTGCTCGGAAAAGAGAGGTGGCATCTATTTGCCTTCTAGCAAATTGTTGATTGTTTGATTGTTACATAACATGAGATGGAGGAGGATGTTGCGTTTGCATTTGGCTCTGTGCTACGAGAGTCTCATGTCTTGTGTTTGCCTTGGCCAGACTTGTATTTACATAAACAAATACGTCTCTACAGTGGAACAAACTTACCATCTAAAACTACGTCATGGTAAACAACAGTGAAGCTCTTTGTTACACCCACTGTTTGCAGACATATATTGAGCGGGAACAGGAGGCGTATAGATAAGAATTGATAATTTGCAATGACATCATGTTGGGGGTGTTCTACATGTATCTCGAATGGTGACATAATGCACACATTAGCAAACACTGTCAAAAAAGTTTTAGAATTGTCCGAAACCTAAAGAAAAAAATACTAAATGAATTTAAACAATGCATTTTCAGAAGCCTGTGATGAATACAAATGTTCATGGTCCTGTTTAGTCAGTTCTTTGTGGTCAGATTGTGCTAGAATAAGTGTCCAAAAAGCGCTATATAAATCTGATCCATTAAAATAAAGCACAGATTAAAGTCTAATAAAGCCTCAGACAGAGCAGAGCCTACAGTTCTCACATCTCGCATCTCACCCCCAGGGACTGTTGATGATATCAGCTGTAAAGTATTAACACAAATATAACTGTACAGATTGAGCACAACATACCTTGACCTCTGTCCTTTTGAATGCTTGAAATGTGCTTGCTTGGAAAGTGCTTGATGTATCTGGTTTGGACTTAAGCTCTGTCTTTTTCACCAGTGTGTCTTTCACGACAGGTGCTGATGATGCGGAGACGGGAGACGGCTTCTGTTGGGGTTTCTGTGCCTAAAGTGACCAGGAAATAAGAGCATTTCAGAATAGTGCACAAATTATACATATGGTAGAGTTATAGCAAAAGAAAAAGTTAATTCTGACAAGTGGAGAAAGGTTTTAAAATGACAGTAGCTCAGTTGGAAAGCCACTTATAAGCCCACCTCTCCACTAGTGTCTGTGTAAACTGGTGTATGAATGAATGTGTGAATGGGTGAGTGGTTTCTTCATCTAAAGTACTTAGAGAGCCTTGAAGGTGGAGAAGCGCTATATAAAAATATGACCATTTATCATTTCCCAAGACGTTTCACTTTTGTCCAGTTGACAGAATTGAATTTTTCTTTTACCATGGCTCATACCGGGATGACTCGGGGATTACACAGATACAGCAGAGTTTATAACATGGACCATGGCTGCTTACCATTCGTTTCATTTGTCTTGTGCATCGGCCGCAGTACCACACAAGTCGTGGGTCGTTCACTTCTTTGTCTGTCACCTGGGGCTTGTGACAGTCTTGGTGGTACAAGTTGTGGCATTCCTGGCACTCCACCAGCTGGTTTCCCATAGTCACAGTCATTTGTCTTGAGGAAAAAAAACAAAAACACACACACATTACATAAACAGTTTTTTCTTAAAATGTGAAAAATAGAAGTAGTGATTTAAATTTATTTTTGCTGCAGTCTAAACATATTTCTCCCTTTACTAATGCGTTCCTAACAACCTAATTTTTCACTGCAAAGATTTTATGCTTTGTACAACTTTGCTGCCATGGCAACACTAACAACTAGCATGTTTACAGGACGTCAGGCTTCCTGGTTCCTGACAATAAAATGGTTTATGATTAGCACACAGTGCTCTAATTTTGACATCTGCTTTTACAATAGATCTGTACTAGAGCAAGACAAATCTCACATGAAAGAAATTTGGTACAGCCCTGTCGAGAACTCAAACAACATAAACATACCTGCATACCACACAGGCCAGTCTTCCATGGCAAAATCATCTGCATTAGTTTCATCATAGTCACTGATATTTGGCACAAGGTCCTTGCTGGTTTGCACAGTGATTGGTGAAGAGCGGTTCTCTTGTTTCTCAAGTCGGGGTTTCTTTGGGGGGTCCACATCTGACAATTCAATTCTGACCTATTGATCCAAATCATAAACACAATAAAAGTTAAAAATGCAGGTTGAAAAATGACACATTGTTCACATTTGATTCTGTGTAGTGTTACCTTCTCTGAGGATCTCTTCTCTGCCTCTTTTTTGCTCTTTTCTGATTTACTACTTCCACTGCTACTGCTGGAGGATGAAGAACTAGATGATGACTTAGAATCCTGTTTATTCAGGCTGAGTTTTGAAATGGACGTTTTGGAGATATCTATGTCCTGTAAATAACCAAAAACAGTGTTATTACAAAACCAACAAGCTAAGACTAGTAATACATGTATACAAGTTAAAAAGGGAGGAAAAATATACAAACAAGTGTTATATATAAAACATAACATACTACTTTTTATGTTTCTAAATTACTTTTTGTGTTATGCGGTAGGATGTGTCACTTCCTCTTGCTAGAGCCTCATCAAGCAGTGCTTTCAGTTTCTCTGCAGAGTCTTTGCTCTTGGAGTGAAGGTAACTCAGACCCTTCAGGAAAATAGGGTCCAACTCCAGCGTGACGGGTCCAGCCATAGCTTTAGACTGTAAAGGTAAACAAACAACACAATGACAATTAGCCTATGCTGTTGACTAAAGGTGTGCAAATACTGAAATATCAATATATTGTATCGCTTAGTGTGATGATACAGTATTGATATCGTGGGCTGCTGTATCGATTAATTAATTAATTAATGTATTTATTTGAGACAAGGACAGGGCACAATTTTTACATTGCATTTACATATATATTGTTAAGAGTATGTTTTGGTATATTTTACTCAATTATTTTGTTGCAACACTACAGTTTTGTTGCTTGATTAGAAGAAAGAAACTCATTTATGCAACACATTAGACATTTTCAATGTTTTGATGATTAAAATGGGTGTGTTTCATATGAACTTCGCACAAGAAGTAATTTAACAAAGACTTTTAGTATCACAGCCATAATTTTGCCTTTATTTTTATACAAATATATCGTATTGAGTCGAAAGTGCACTGTATCGAGATATGTATTGTATCGTGGCCTGTGTATCGAGGTATGTATCGCATCGACAACTTCTTAATGATATCCAGCCCTAATGTTGAAATCAAGATTACTCTGTATGCACATTTATATGAAACATTTAAGAGGGTTGGTCTTTCTGTAGAAAATATTGAATGAAATGTGCAGGATGAAGTAAAAAAAAAATAAAAATAAATAAAAAACAAGCACATAATAAAAATAATATCATGCCATTTGTTATTATTATTGTCTGTTTAATAATTACAAAAGACAAAGGAGTTTTAGCAGTGTGAAAAATTGTGCGATATAAAAACAATAGTATCCCGGTAAGTACACTGGTTGGAGAAAGAGGAACCCGGTGTTCGCGTCGGCTCGTACAAGGAAATTACAAAGTCAGATGTACCGGAATAGACTGTTTTGATCACTACTCACCTTAAAGCTATATATTTATTCCGATATTCTTCTTCAGGGTTGAGAAAAGCGGTTGACTCCCTTTAAAACAAAATAAGCGACCAGTGCCGACAGCTTTTTCCTTCAAAGTGCAGATTGTGCAACCATTAAATGTTTCCGGAATGCAAAAGACGCTAACTACGGAACATTAGACCTAGGTGACATAATATTATTTTTTCCAACTATATTATTCAGCTGGGTTTAGAGTCTTCTGCTGTATTGTGGTAATTTATAATTTTCTTACTGTTATTACGAAAATAAATGTGTTATTTTATAGTTTGATTATTTTTATTTTTTTTTACAATTGCAGTCAACAGATGGCGCTGTGGGACTGTGGTCGCTTTGAGGAGAAGAAGGGGTCCAGGAAGTTTGAGAAAGCAAAACAACGTGGGTCAAATAAACGTGTGTATTTAAAATGAATGAAACTGCAGTAAGTAATCATGTTTCATTATAATGCTATCTTTGTACATTCATTATACGTGTTATCTACAGCTTCTGGGTTAATGTCTTGTCGGAAATTGCCATTAAAACCTTTTTTTATTGTATTTTAGAACATGAAATCTCAGGAAAAGCGTCCCATTCTATATCTTGAAGTCTGTCATGAGAATGGAGAGCATCGACTGCCTTTGCACACGTCTGTTGTCCTCTTCCTCCTGTCATACTGCGAGTGCAAATCCTTTAAGGTTTTCCTGGTATCATCCTCCACCAAGTCAGACACCTGTGAATCCCTAAAAGATCACCTGCCTGAGTTTTTGGAGGTGTCCCACGTGGGGCTGGAGTGTTTGCCCCCGCTGGTGAGGAGCTGCAGGCTGCCCTCTGTCCTGGATGAGACTGGGAGGCTGTGCAGAGCTGGACTGGCTGTGGTACTTCGACATATCATCAACAGGACCCTGGAGGCTGACTCTTCTAGAAATGATGTTCTGGCTCTACTGGGCTTCAAGAAGACCTGCCTGAAGGCCTGTGCTGAGGTTGGTTGGACACAGACTGATGGTCAGACATTGGTAGTTTCTATGGTTGTGGTGATATTTATTTATTTGATAGGGACAGTGCATTTTAATGAACATCTGCAATTACAGTTTAAATATTCCAGGTTATATAGCAAAAAAGTTTCCATCACAAAACCAAGCCTATAGAAGTAGAACACATATTAATAGCAGTAGCCTAGATGTTACATTTAGGCCTGGCACAAGTAGTAAATAAAGTAAATATAGACGATAAACAGTAATATTGCAAATGATTTATGTCACTGTCACAATAAACCAACAGATATAAACCAAAAACATATTACAAATCTGCACTTTTGTTAAAAAATCATGAGCTGCAATAAATAAATAGCAGAATGAATCACTTTAGTGCTGAGTTTGCATCTGTAATGAGTCATAAAAGTTATTCATTCAAACTTATAGTCTTAAATCTTATGGTATAGCCAAAAAATAACCTAAATTTCCAGACAGTCGATAAATATTGACCCCCAAAAAATACACTTGCAGTTTTCACATATTGAATAATAAGTCTATATAGTAATTATCGTGACAGGCCTAGTTCTGTTAACATAATGTGTAATGAATGCCTGAGCTTGGAAACTAATAGTGCCATAGTGGGGGTGGCAGCTCATACTGTCATTATGTCCTTGGGAACGACTCCTCACCCACCTTGCTTGTGTCCATACATGCTGGTGTGTTTCTGAGAGAGTAAGTGCACGGCAGTGGGTGGAAATTAGTCCATGGTTACAATCAAAACATCCCAAAATAGCCTTCACAATATTTGTATTGGCTCATTATTATTTCATTAAAACAAAACTTTTTCCATTTGCATGTTAAAAAATGTACAAATGTTTTAACTCAATTTTCATCACATATTGACTAAAATAAAATACCTGTTGGGGGTGTTGTTAAAATGTTAAAAAGCTTAACATGTATTTTTTTCCTCCCTTAGGTTAGCAAGTGGACACGGCTTTGTGAACTGGGCATCCCCTCTTCAGTTGAGGAACATTTAAGAAATCCTACCAGTGTAGAAACTCAGCTCCCTCTCCCCATCCTCACCCTCGAACAGCGTCTGTCTGAACCCGTTAAAGTTCACAATGACGACAAAATCAGAAGACAGAAACTCAAGCAGCAAAAACAAAATCAAACAACCAAATCACCTGCTGGGACTTTGGACAGTAACCTTCCACAATCCAATGACAGACTAGAGCTAGATGCTGCCCTCGCCAAGTTGTCAGTGGATGCAGATCCTAGGGCGGCCACTAGGGAGAGCTCTGACATCAGGAAAGTAAAAACGACAGAACTGCCCCCTCTGGAACATGTGTTTGCTGAGGGGCTGTACTTCACTTTGACTGATGTGGTCCTTCTCCCCTGCATCCATCAATATCTGGTAAGAGTCCTGATACGATGATGTATGAGACCAAAAAGCCATTGTGGTGTAATGTCTTTTGTGTTGAACTGTAAACCTTCTTTTGTTTGGGCAGTAATTTGAACTCAAAACCCCAAATTAAAAGTTTGTGAAAGTATTTGTCAGTGGCTTTCTGGCTCTACAACCCAAACACTTAAATGAACATTCTCAATTTGTTAGAGTAAGAAAACAATAGCTTTTGTATGATATGTTTGACTGCTGGGAGGCCAGAAAGAGAAAAGAGATTTTGATGGAGTGCAATGGAGGCTCGAGCAGACAGTCAGACCTATATTTCATTGTTGGATCAGGGGAGTAGTTTGTGTTTGTGTTCTCTTTTGATAAAACTAAGATTATAGCGACTGGCGAACATTTGGCTCCACTAGGGCTGTCACAATAAAAAAAAAATTACAGTATGATATATTGCCACAGAGAAATATTGCACTAAACGCAACATTCATGCTATATTGAGATACATATTGAAATTACTTTTTGCCACTGAGGAAAATCTCTGTGAACCTATTTTTAAATATATTCTATCATTAAAAATCCTGAGTTTCGACAAATAAATAGCAGAAAGAAACCCTTATAGCTAATTATTTGTATCTGTTCAACCATCTACAGCTCAAATCTTATCGTATTAGATCAGGTGTCTCCAACCCCCTTCCAAGTAGCCAATGGATTTTAAAATTTTACGCACTGTGAATAAATAAAAGTGATGGATTAAATAACTATGACCACTGTAAATGTATAATTTTGATGCCTGACTTTGCGCACTAATAAATGGATAATGGTTTATGTTTTATAGACATCTAACTGTACCCCTTCTAAATCTGACCATGGCTTTTATATTTACTAAATTTCTTGCCAGTGTTAATATCAGTAGCTCTCTGGTATTTTCGTTTTGTAAAGGTAGCTCACTGGCGGAAAAAGGTAATAAAAGATGGCTAAAATCTCCCCAATATTGCATATAAATTGTACACTTGACACATATTGAGCCCCAAAACATATGTACATGCGATATTTGGCCACAAAGCATATTTTCCAGCTTTCATATATTGAAACATAAGTCAGTATTGTAATTATTGTGACAGGCCTAAGCTGCACGGTTCAGCTCTCACCTCTCGGCTTGTACCAGGAGTCAAGAACCTCTATTACATGTATTTAATGCTGCTTGAGGATGCATTTATTTTAGAGAGCAGATCCAGTTTGACTTCAGGTTCTGTGAGTGTGGTCCTCGGGCTTTTCATGTGTTGGGGCTCAAAGTGAAGAAGCGGCACAGCTCCACAGTTGGCACGGGCTCTCGCTCTCTGGAGGTCTGTGCACCTGGCAAAGAGTGATAACAACCAGTGGGAGGGAGCCTATTCACATGCACAAGGTTCAAATGCATTTCAATAACGTTTCTCTGGAAGCATGTTTCTCTCGGCGACTGATCAAAAAGTGCCGGTACTTGGCCTGGAGGCTTCTAGCACATATTTCAACTTCAAAGATACCTGTAGATTAGACCGTTTCTCACAATTTTAGATTTGGTGCACGATGTTTATGGTGATAAGTAGAGGTATGTTTTGATTGGTTAGGATTTCTCTGCCTTCTCCACCTCTCTGGGCAGTGTGGGAATAAACTTGAGTTCTCACAATAAGGCTTTTAGTAGTCAGCTGTGCTCTAGTGGTTTCCAGTTTCACACTCCATGTAGCGTGTCTCCTCTTAACGGCCATCTCTGTCCAGGACAGATGCAGCCTGACATGTCCACTCAAGCTCTTGAGCTGGGGCTCCTTCTTTCCCCAGACTTGGCCCCTGACTCCTCTCAGTCCCATAGACCACATGTCTGTTGTCACCCTGCTGTTTCTCTCTGTTCTCCCAGTCTCTGTGTTCTCCCTGTCTCTCTGTATCGTCCCTCTTTCTCTCTGTCTCTGTGTAGTCCTTCTCTCCTAGCAGCAGGACACACAGTTGATCATGTCTTTTGTTCCTCCTCCCTCCTCCTCTTCCTCCTCCTCACTCTTGGCTCTGTTTTGGTTCTGGTCTCTTGTGCATGCCTGTCCGCTACAGTGATGAGTGAATTCTAGTGGAACATGACATTTGCAGGAGCTGACTCACCTGATGAATCATTAAGTCAGTTTCTTCACCTTCTCATTTTGTCTCCTTTCTTTGTCTTTGATAGAATTCTCTTCAAACTCACTCAGAGAAAGTTCTAGACCACCTGCCCCGCCTACTGCGCTGGTACAGCCGTGTCCAGGAGGTACCTGGAGTGCAGCGAGCAGCTAATGCCTGTGGGATCACCCTCTCCCCACCTCAGACCCCCCCTCAGAGCCCCCCTCCCCGTCCATCAGACCCTGCGGCGGAGCACAGTTCGACCAGCCCACTGGAGTGTGAGGAGACCTGCCAACAGCTGCCGTTTGTTGGAGGCCCGAGGCCCACTCTGACCAAACTCAAAGTATGTCCTCACTTTTTATCAGGCCCTGTCATCTCCACACACGTTTGTTTAAACATGCTCCTACGCTGAATGCAAATGATGTCCTGCTGAAGTGGAGATAAAGTGTTTAGAGGCTGCAACTGCTCGTTAACCATTATCCTATCATTTCATGCTTGAGTTTTCAGTTGATTTGCCTGCCAGTGCTGCTCTGTGATAATGTTTTGGCTTCTGGCTGTCATTGTCACTGTAAAATGTTCCCTTTCTGTTGTGCTGGGTAAACATAACATGTGTTCTTCTTGTAGTGCCTTTAAAGCTATTATGCAAAATTGACTTCTTAGAGCTTTTAACCATGTTATAATCGTTTGCCCTCACCATTTACTCACCCAAAGTTGTTTTTGAGTCATTCGTGCTTGTTTGAGCTATCTTGCCGATCAGTCCCTGTTTTCACTGTTTCGGTACTTACTTCGTTCTCCAATTTTACTTTCTTAATCAGTAAAGCATAGGATTGAGCAGCGTTGTGTAGTCAGTTTTGGTACCAATGAAAAAAAAATCCGCTGCTCTCCAGCATGATCTGCACGTATCCATTGGAGGTACCAGGTGATGACCTTTACTGCGACATCTGCTCAAATTTGGACATCGCAGTTTTCTAACGCGGAAGCCAGCTGACTTGTCGTTCTAAGTTGTTCTGTATGAATATTGCAATTTAAAATGTCTAAATGATAACATAATGACCCACAGGTATCATAGTCTTTCTTCTTTAACTCCAGAAACAATGTCCAGAAACAGATCTATAGGTCTCCCAGCCTAAATGTGATGGTCTATGGGTGAATTCTCAGTGATTTTCTACATACTGAGTCCACCTGCATTATAAAATATTTATCGCTCTCTTAGGCTTAACTTTGTGAACCACATTTCTCTCTGAATAACTACTGAGAGAACTACTGAGAATACGTATGTTCAGAGCACTGGTTGTCTGCCTGCAGTGTTTTCTAAAATGCACAGTTCTGTGTCCTCCAGACACGGCTGTCTTTACTGTTCTTGCAGACAGGGCTCTCCTTTAACTGCTGGAAAATGCAATCACAGCTGTCCAAAGAGAAACCATGTCTTGTGTATTAGCAGAGCAGAAAACTGTGAACAATATTTATGTTCACTCAGTTTAATATGTTTGGCTTTACCCTATTTACCCTAGGACTGCACGATTTTGGATCTCATCTAAAACAAAATTGCTATTTTCTGTTAAAGGTCATATATTACACAAATTTGACTTTTGTGAGCTTCAAGCCATGCTAGAATGTTGTCAAAAACATACCTGGAGTTGTGTTTTGTTTCATTCACACAATTTATTATTGCTCTGTCTTTTTAATTAGTCTGCTTACATCACCAAAGCTCAAAATACTCTGTTCCACATTGTGATGTCAAGAAGCTGTAGTTTAAGTTAACAGCTACATTTTACCTTTAGTTCTATAGGCAATTTTGGAGCTGAAATTATCCACATGATTCTAGTGAAGATGTATGGAGTTTAAAAACACAGTGGAGCACTTCCTGTATTACCACATGACATCACAAGGTGGAACAGAGTGTTATCTATTTGAGAGAAAAACTATTGCCTATATAACGAAAGCCTAAATATGCAGGGTTTGTGTTAAATATGTGTGAATGAAACAAAACACAACTCCAAGCCCCTTCAAGTATATATTTAAAAAGAAGGTTTCCGTTGATTGACTGGACAGAAATATGAATTTATAAACTAATACAAGAATCTCATGCATTTCAGAACATGTTTTTCCAAGTCTAGACAAAATGTACACGGTTTTTCTATAAAAAGACAGGATCTATTTGATTTCAATATATTGTGCAGCCTTCCTTTACACTTTTGAGCCCCTGGACTTTTCCCTACTGGCTCCATTTCCTTGTCCTCTCTGCTTGGTTATTTCTGCTTCTTACTGGCAGACATTTTAAAATAATATCCACTTTTAGGAACGGGGTACTGGAATTTGAGTGGGCCGTTAGCGCTGGGCGGTCAAGATAGAACGTTGCTTAAATATGCAGGATTTGTGTATTAAACATGTGTGAATGAAACAAAACAAAACTCCAGATATGTCTTTAATGAGCAAATAACATTATATAACAGACCAGAAAATATCATAATATGGGCCCTTTTTAATAATTCAGTTGTGCAGCATAGTCTGTGTGATATAAATACAAAGAGTTCTGATTATTTTCCTGAGAGTGCTTAAAGGTGCACTTCTCAACTTTTCTATTGGAGAGTCCTCTACCTGTTTGTCTCCATGGAAATATTATTGCTTTGTCTAGAATGTTTCACGGAATAGATTAAACCTTTTTATTATGAGTGAGACAAGCCGGTTACAGCACTACACTATATTACAATTCAGATCTGTGGAGAGTCGCCCGTATTCACAGGAGGATTTATTGTATTATTGAGCTGTAGAAACACACGTAATGAATAAATGTTATATGGAAATATGAAAGAAGTTGCTGATACGATACATACCACGATACAGTGCACTTTCAATTCAATACAGTAAATTTCAAATCAATTCTATACGGTTCAGTAAAAATAAAGGTTAAATCATGACAGTGATACTAAAAGTCTTTGTTAAACCACTTCTTGTGCAAAGTTAATATGAAACACAAACATTTTAATCATCAAAAACTGAAAATGTCAAAAGTGTCACATAAACGAATTTCCTTCCTCAAACAAACAACAAAACTGTAGCACTGTAACAAAATAATTTAGTAAAATATACCAAAAATACTCTAGGCAATATACGTCAGTCCATGATATTGATACTGTATAATCACATTGAACAATACAATATATAGATATTTCAATATTTTTGCACTTCCTAATGGAAATGATAACAGCAGACCCTGCACCTCATCAAAAACACACCTGGAGTTCTGTTTTGTTTCATTCATTGTTTGAGCAATCCTTTGTTATAAGTCTGTCTACATCTACAAAGCTGAAAATGCTCTGTTCCACCTTGTGATGTCATGAAGCAGTAATTTTCAAGTTCACAGCTACACTGCCTTTTACCTTTTATACAGTAGATATTCGTAATTCGCTTTGGGTTGCATTTTTGTATGAAAAGCGTTCTATAAATAAAGTTTGATTGATTTCCAGGTCTGAAATTATCCAAATGATTCTAGTGAACACAGTGGAGGATGTCCCGTATTACCACATGACATCACAAGGTGGAAGCTGGAACAGTATCTTCTTTTTTGAGAGAAGAACTCAGCCTAAATATGCAGGGTTTGTGTGTTTAAACATGTGTGAATGAAACAAAACACAAATCCAGATACGTTTGTGATGAGGAAACAACATTATAACATAGATCAGAGAACAGCGTAATATTGTCCCTTTTACCTGTAGAGGATATTTCTGCTTCCTGCTGGCGGGCATTTTAAAATAATATCTAGTTTTAGGAGCGGAGTGGTGGGATTTGAGTGGGCCGTTAGCGCTGGGTGGTCAGGATAGAGGAGGGGGAGTTGTTTTAGCGCAGCACCGTGTTGCCGGATGAAGTGTTGCTATGCGGAGACGTGCACAAATGACAGTTTTGACGGTGGGGCGAAATCACACATTAACACGGAGAGGGCTGTGTGCAAACAATAGCCACCATTCTGTCTCTGCCTGAGGGGATTATAAGGATGGCTGCGTGTCTCCACCGCTGTGTCTGAGCTGCAGCTGTCTCTGGAGTCCTGGCCACTGTACTGTTGTGAGTGTGTATACTAATGTGATGTTAGGGGCTATATCAAGAACAAGTAGTACTGAGAGCTACAAGTGGTAAATGATCCGTCAGTCAATATTAAAGTAGGCGTGTGCACTGTTTTGTAAAGAGGAGTCCATGAAAAACACTGCTGGATAACATTCTTGTTGATAAAATGTTGGGAATAACCTCAAACCAGATTTTAAAGGTTATTACACAAGCTTGATTCTTGTGAGATTTAAGCCATGATAAAATGTTTTTAGCTCATCAAACACATCTGGATTTGTGTTTTGTTTCATTCCCACATGTTGAGTTGAGTTAGTTTACAAGTTAACAGCTTTTACCTTTGGTTCAGTAGAAATTGGCTATTCCAGGGAAATTATCCAGTTGATTCTAGAGAAGGTGAATGGGGTTTGAAAACAAAGTAGAGCGCTTTTTCTATTAGAAAAAAAAAAAATGCATATTTTTATGGCATTATTTCTCACTTGATGTGAAAAGTGGGAACCCAGTTGTTACGACCCAGCTGGCTTGGGGTGAGGAAAGTAACAAAACAAAAAAAAGATGTTAATTAAACATTACTTCATTTATTCCATTTAACAAGGAATGTAAAGGTAAATCAACAAAACAGACTAAATTATACAGAATATACTCTAAACTAAGAAACAAAACAACAGACAACGAGTTTTTTCCCACAAAACGGGTCACGCGGACTTACAAAAAACGATTGGTAAAACTATGGAACACACACAAATGCTTGCATGTAACACCAGTGAATAGTTGGAAAAAGTACTTATTTCAGTCAAAACATTGTGATGTTGTTGATGTTTTCTTTCTGATATTGACAGGGTTTACACGGTCACAGAAATCTTGGAAAAGTCATGGAATTTTAGTATCTCTTTCATGCAACTACATTCTGTTAAGTTATTATTAGACTATTATGATTATTTCCCATCATTTGCACCTTTTGTTTAAAAGAGAATAAATGCACTGACAGTATTTAAAATGTAAAAAAAAAAACTATAATACCAAACCATAAGGTGAGTGGAAAGGGTTAACATTTCATATTTAGCCCTAAAAGTCTGAACATTTCTACACATGTAGGGTGCAGTAAAGTCATGGAAAATTCACTTTAGGTCATGAAAAAGTAATGGAAAAGTTTAAGAAATTTTGTCAGTGAAAAAGAGTGGGAACCCTGTGTAGATAAATCTCGATCTTTTGGTTCAGTTTTAAAGTTCAAGGACTTTATCGGTACCAACAGCTAAATTTTGTTTGGCAGTGAATCAGCCTATTCAAGTTTATGTCTTTGGTTTTGGAAAAAAAAAAGAAAAGTCTGGACACTGTTCCAAACTACACACTTTTACTGACAGAATTGGCTGTAGATCGCCCCTCAAAAAAAAAACCAAAAAAAACAAAACTATATCATTGACAATCTGACACAACTGAATTTCGATTAAAATCCAATAAATTACCCAGCCCCAGCAAGCATCCTGTAAATATTATGTCTTGTATGTGTTTTAATTCAAAAATAGCGTCCCGCACTGTGCCATAAAGACTAATGATCTTTCACTGTGCACCAGATGCCCCGGCTCCATCTGTGCCCACGGTCCACTCTGAGAATGCCCCATAAACTCGGGCACTTTCCCACTCCAGCGATCACAGCAGCTCATGCCACTCACACAGCCGGAGCATTGAGCTGTGGACTCAAAAATGTAAACAGTACAGACTCCGTCCTACATTCAAGAGGCCAAACGCATTTTCCAGTGGGTTTGATTGACAGGTCTTTATGTGCGAGGCCTGCAAATAAGACAGCAGCTTAATCTGGGATCTAGTGAAAATAAGGGTTTTCCTGGCTGGAGATTTGAAGGGTTAGTGTCACCAGGTGAATTCAGGGGAAGCGCAGTGTCTGGTATTTTACAATCCCTTTTGTTTGTATAGCCATTTCATAAACAGACAGTTTTTAAAGTGCTGCACAGAGCTCAAGGAACAACAATATTAATAAAAAGATATATAATAAATACATTAATAGATAAGAAATTTAAAAAACTGAATAAATAGCCTCTTTATTCTTAGTTAACACAAACCAGTGAAATCATATAAGAACAAACTGGGCTGCACAATTTGGGAAAAATATCACATTTTTTTTGACAAACCTTGAGATTATGTATAGATTTGCAATTTATGTTTTAATAATGCAGTTCTGTTCAAAGTTCAGAGTTTAAACGTGCCCATAAGAATTGACAAAATTGACTAAAATATGAACTGACAAACTAATAAAATTACACAATAGTTACATTTTCTGAACATCTTTATACAAACTTATGAAAGGCGAGTAGTTTTTATGCATAATAAAACAGGACATTCTTTTGTTTGTGGAGGAAATTACGGTACTTCAGAAAATGGTAGCCTTTGCGATTTGCTAAGTGTGTTCATTCAAACTGCTACTTTGATTCGATTTAATCCTGCAGCCCAAACAGGAAAAAAAAACAATTATAATAGCGATAAATACCCACCAAGAAAATGAAAAAGAAGCACACAACTTTCTCAGTGTTGAAAGCCAAAAAATAAAAGTGTGTCTTAACAAGGCACTTAAAGTTACAATATTATGCAAAATTTACTTTTGTGAACGTCATAATGTTGTTACCTCTTCAAAAAGATACCTGGACTTGTGTTTTGTTTCATCCACACATGTTTGAGTAACCCTTTATTATTAGTCTGTCTACAACCCCAAAGCTCAAACTGCTCTGTTCCACCTTGTGATGTTATGAAGCGGTAGTTTTAAAGTTTTCGGCTAAGTTTGACCTTTTATTCAGTCAAAATTGGCAAATCCAGAGCTGAAATTATTCCAGTGAAGGTATATGGACTTTAAAATCTCAGTGGAGCACTTCTTGTATTACCATAAAACATAGCTTCATATGTGCCCTTTAAAATACTCAGTTTTGGGGCTTTTCCAGTACAATTATCGCACACAAATAAAACTACGACTGGTACAGCGTATTATCATGAATTTTTGAAGAAAAAAAAAAAGTTGCTAATTAGATTTATACATTAACCCTTAGCCATTCCAAGCCTTGGGCAATTAGTAACTGAGTGAGTTTCCAGCCAAGATCATGAACCATAGTGACTTATAAAGAAAGCTGCAGGCGAGAGTCTGGTCAATGAATGATAAATAAATAAAAACCCGTGAAATGCATGCAGCCCTTCTTCAAATATGCACGACAGGTGGAAATTAGACGCTACAACCTGGTACAATCCATCTCTCCGGTTAAAGTTAATGTATATTGTCCACTGTCCCTGTCTCATGAACTAAACTCAACTCCAACTCAACTCCAGCTCAACTAAACTAAACTAAACTAAAGAGGGCTACAGCCAATCCTCAGTCAGTTTAATGCAGAGTTCAGAATTGGGGGGAGAACTTGGACTATTTCTTTGTCCTTAAATGGCAATCATAAAAAATATATTTTTTATTTTTATTTGTATTTTTAGTTTATTTTATTTTATAATATATGGAAAATAATAGTGACACTTCTTCATATCTCAAGTGCTATAAAATTATACAGATTCATACACATATTAGGGGGAAATATCTTTTTATCTTTACAAAAAATACCCATATTATGCTGTTTTCTGATTTATGTTATGCCTTTGATGATTGAAGAACATTATGAGTTATGTTTTGTTTTGTTTTTTTCATCCAAACCATGCATGTTTCTTTTCTGGCAAACAGAAAACACTCCCATCACTTCCACCTCGTGATGTCATGTGGTTATACACTATGTTAATATGTACACTATATTAAACTCCATACACTTTCACTAGAATGATGTGGATAATTTCAGCCCTGGAACGGACCTTTTTCACAACGGCCAGAAGTGCTGTGATGTAGGATAAACATCACTTGCTTTAATGCTTTTCTATGGAAAAACATAAGTGGAAATGTCTCGTGTATATATTTTCCACCAGCTTCATAAATCTGCCCCATCACCAAATCTTCATCCAACAAAATCCACAAAGGATAAACATGAAGAATTTATCCACAACTATCAAGGAAAGAAAGACGAAAACTTTAAGGTGAACAACGACAACGCATTAGTGAAATACTCCTGAGCAAAACTAACATTATGGTCATGAATAAAACATAAGTTATAAGTCATTCGTTAATAAGTAACTTGTTAACTCAGACTGTTTTTCGAATTAAAATTAAAAATCACTTTCATAATGTAGATATTAGCATAGAGAGATTTGTGCAGTTTAAATGCTACAGATGTTCACAGATTACATGTCTCGCATTTAATCTGCACAAATCTGTCTATGCGAATATCTACATCATGAAATAGATTTTTAATTTTAATTGTAGAATCAGTCTGAGCTAACAAGTTACTTATGTTTTATTCTTAACCACTATGTTAGTTTTGCTCAAGAGTAGTTCACTAATTCTTGTCGTTTTCATCTTTCTTACCTTGATAATTGTGGATAAATTCTTCATGGACAGAATATGTCACTTGTCAGCCTTGTTGGATGAAGATTTGGGACAGATTTATGAAGCTGGTGGAAAATACGCAAGAGATTTCCACAGATATTTTGCCATAGAAAAGCATTAACGTAAGTGACGTTTACCCTACACTTGCAGCTGTTGTGAAAAAGGTCTGTCCTCTGTCAGTTTAATGCAGAGTTCAGATTGGACTATTTCTTTATGCTTAAATGGCAATCACAAAAATGTATGTTAGTTTGTTGATTAATATGTGGAAAATAATAGTGATACTTCTTCATATCTCAACTGCTATAACATTATACAGATCAGATTCGTACAAATATTAGGGGGAAATACCTGTATATCTTTACAAAAAATGCAACTTTCTGATCTATGTTATAATGTCGTTTCCTCATCAAAGACATATCTGGAGTTGTTTTGTTTCATTCAGTCCCTGCGTATTTATCTTCTCGCACTCCAACACTTCCACCTTGTGATGTCATGTGGTTATACACAGTGTTTTTAAACTCCACACACCTTCACTAGAATGATGTGGAGAATTTCAGCCCTGGAATTGCCAATCTCTACTGAACCAAAGGTAAAAGTAGCTGTTAACTTGAAAACTGCTGCTATACATGACAGGACAAGGTGGAGCATTTTGAGCTTTGGAGACGTAGACAGAGTAATAATAAAAAAGGATTACTCAAGCATGGGTGAATGAAACAAAACACAACTCCAGGTATGTTTGTGATGAGGTAACAACATTCTGACATGGTTTAAAGCTCACATGAATCAATTCTGTGTAATATAGGGTCTTTAAATCAAGCAAAATTCCTCTGTTGTAGCCAAGTCTCTTTGCATTCACCTCCTCACGCCCATTTCGACCACTCTGCCTTAAGGATGAACATGGGTTTCTATGGTAACTTATGCATGTGTGTGTATTTGCTCCTCCCGTAGGAAAATGGCATTGAGGCTGTGTTCTTCCCCCATCCCTGCCCTTCTTGGACCCTCCCGTGGGAGCAGTTGCCAGAGGCTATCAACCCCACAGAAGGTAAAGTCAGATCCTAACATCATCCCTCCTGCTGCTCTGCTCCCATTCAAATCCCAAAAATGTGCTTTTCTCTCTTAAACTTTCCCTTTTTAATAAATCACTTTGTTCTGTTTGAAGTCTAATCCCTCTAAATCATGGTCGCGATCTCACATTATCTGAAGCTTAAGGCAAAAACAAATATAATGAATCTGCTTTATCTAAATCAATTAAACACAGCGGTAATGTTCAACGTGGGAATCGCGTCAAAGATCTTACAGTTAATCCAAAAATAAAATGTTTCAGGCAATGGTGATCGTTAAAGACACATAACAAGATTTATTTTTTCTAAATGTCTTGGTGCGTCACAAAAATAAGGGAAAAGCAAAAGGCAAAAACAAACAAAAAAGCGTTTGATTAAGATAGAAAAATAAGATTGCGTGACATATATATATACAGTTTTCTGGTACAGTTACTTTTTCCTTTGGCAGTATTTACAAAACAGTTACTTTCCTAAAATCAAAGGAATACATGGCAGTACTTGATCACACAATTTAGACTACACAGAACTAGTGAGAAATATAAGTGAGTGCATGTGTGATTTTGCAGAACAAACTGTGAAACAAATATAAAGCTATCTTTAATCTTATGTTGCATCTTCGCACTATAATTTAAAAGCAAGTCTGTGTGAAAGTATTCAGAATACAATACTTTGTTTGGCTCATATATTGGTTGGAATACATAAAAAAAATACATTGTAATTCAGGTATTCAGTATTGTGTCACTAAATACATTTTCAAAGTATTCTTCCAATCGCTGGACAGATACTATGTTAAACCTTCTTTTAAGAGCTTATGTTAAAAATGTTTTTTATTATATTGTATTTTTTCTCCTGTATTCAAAATGCCCTTGCTCCTAAAATTCCCATAATCCTCTACCCCCAGCCAATACACACCCACTGCTTAGAACTTACTACATTCTCTGATTGTTTTTTCTTTTTTAAACGTACTATATTAATGTAGTGGCAGTTTAACTCCACAGTTTTCCACTCTAGCTGTGAGGGCATGGCTAGAACTTGACTCATGTGTCTAAATTGAAAACGGAAAGATTCAATGTCCAAAATTACAGAATATAATATTGTAATGAGGTTTAATTAAAGATGCAGGTTCCACAAATGAAGATTGGATTGCACAATATATCCAGTTCATATGGTCAAAAAAACTGTGTGGCTTCAGCCCCGTACAGCTTCCACACAAAGAATAAACAGACTACATAGGCCACCTGGCAATGAGCCACCACACAACGCTCCACCCTGAACACACTGAACCAAATGTAGTACAAAAAAGCTGCAACAATTTAGTAAAATTTACTCTTACAGCTTTAAACCATATTAGAATGTTTTTGCCTCATCGGAAACATACCTGGAGTTGTATTGTGTTTTGTTTCATTTACGCGTGTCTGAGTAACCCTGAATTATTACAAAGCTCAAAATGCTCTGTTCCACCTTGAGATGTCATGAAGCGGTATTTTTCAAGTTAACAGCTTTTGTTAAGTAGAGAATTTAAATTCCTAGGTCTGAAATTCTCCAAATTATTGGATTAAAGTGCAGCTGTATGGAGTTTAAAAACAGTGGAGCTCATGACATCACAAGGTGGAAACAGAGCATGAACTCATGCTTGGTCTGTGTGTTAAAAATGTGTGAATGAAACAAAACACAACTCCAAGTATGATTTTAATGAGGAAACAACAGTATAATTTAGATCAGAAAATAGCGGGCTCCTTAATTGGTGATACACGTAGGATTCAGCAGCATTATGTAGAGATTTTGGCTTTTATCAAGTTGTTAAGATATAAAATATAAAATAATGATCCATGAGTGTCTTAGATTATGCTATTGTCTGATATATAGTTATAAAGGATGTCTTTTTTACATACACTAAAACCTATGTTTTAATGAGCTGTTGTGTTCTCTTACAACTGTCAAATCTAGACTCAAGTTTCCCATGTACAGTAGATGGGTTTTCACAACACACATCCAAAGAAATGTTTTTTTTTTTTTTTTTTCTTTTTACTATGCAAATTCATGAAAAAAAAAAAAAAAAAAAACTCTGCACAATTCCAACTCCAGTGCCTTGAGTCTGTCAGCGGTGGCACACTTAACATGCAGGAGTGTGCGTTGACATCCCTAAATATTTACATAAAAGCTCCCAGTGCCACAGTAGTCTGGTGTTTTTCAGTCTCACCAGTGGGAAGACAGCGCCAGCATTAGCAGTAACACATAGCAGGGCCTTGGTTCTGTGAGTTTGTTCCCTCGAGCCCTGGTAATGAATTGTAGAGTGCTGATCTCCATACATTATCCTTCTTAGGTAGTGGTGGTAAAAAGTGAATAGGTCTGTGGCATAGACTGTATAAAGAAGTGGACTTAAGGGAGAGTTCAGCTCCAGTCAAATGAAGCTCATGAGGCTAGTGGTTACAAGAGAGAATGTGGAGCCAGATCCATATTATGAATAGGAATTTATTTACGTACAAAATAGTGAAATAAAAATGGCAGAATCATGTAGAGTGAGTTAATATGAACATGTTTAAAACAAAATGACAAGGCTCACAGCAGCAATTACAGAGAGAGGGGTGACAATATTCCAATGTAAATCATTTTGAGCCAGTGTCAGAAGAAGCCAGAAGTACTCCCAGTGGGGATGTAACAATAACCAAAATATTGTGATATCGTATCGTCAAAAGTCTCACAATAATATCGTGGACTGTCACAGTATATTGAATTACAAGTTCCTTTGCTTAAATGCATGGTTTTACAGAAGCAACAGCTTATAAACATTGGAAACTACATATCCCATGATTCATTTCAGCGCAGACAACATGAAGATATGCGTTTTTTACTTGAATTCTTGGGATTATGACAGTAATAATTAACACCAAAATCTTGTCAAGATATTTTTTCTCAGTCTTAAAACACTCTGGCTCACCTTGTGATGTCATGTGGTAATACAGGAAGTCCTCCACAGTTTTGTTTTGTTTTTAAAACTCCATACACCTTCACTAGAATCATTTGGATCATTTCAGCTCAGGAATTGCCAATCTCTACAAACGTAAAAGTAGCTGTGGACTTGAAAACTACAACCTCTTGACATCACGAGGTGGAACGGAGCATTTTGAGCTGTGGAGATGTAGACAGACCAATAATATATGTAGGGGTGAATGTGATGATACAGTATTGGTATCGTGGGCTGCTGTATCGATATATTGCGTAAAGTATTTTTTTGGTATATTTTACTAAATAAGTTTGTTACAGTGCTACAGTTTTGTTGCTTGTTTAGAGGAAGGAATGCAACGCATTTGACATTTTCACTGGTTTTTGAGGATTAAAATGGGTGCGTTTCATATTCACTTTGCGCAAGAAGTGGTTTAACAAAGACTTTTAGTATCACAGCCATGATTTAGCCTTTATTTTTTTCTTTATTTTATCGTATCAAATCGAAAGTGCACTGTATTGAGATATGTATCGTATTTTGGCCTATGTATTGAGGTATGTATCGTGTCAGCAACTTCTTAATGATACGCAGCCCTAAATATATGATTACTCAAACACACGTGAATGAAACAAAACACAACCCAGGTATGTTTTTTGAGGAAGTAACAACATTCTAACACCCCTTAAAGCTCACAAGAGTCAAATTTGCGTAATATAGGACCTAAAAAGTGAACAGGTCCGTGGCACTGGGAGCAGGAGTGTAACAGAGGCTAGATCAGGGTGCACAGTGCAGTCTGTAATAGGCAGCGTAGGCTCTGTGATTGGTGCCTGGGGTGGCATCGGCGCAGCTCCCCGCATAAACGTCACCCCGATGTGTGTTGTTTACCTGGACCGCGGCGCCTGTTTTAGCCAGATAGCTGCGCTGGAAGGCATGTTAATGATTGTCTCACAGCCCACAGAGCAGCCATAATGGTTGGAGGTTACACAACGTTAAACCTTGATAAAGGCAAAGACGAGTGTATTAACATGCACGGGTGAAATACATATTTTAGTGTTCCATATTCACAGTGATTTTAATGAGAGCTGAAGTTTTGCTGCATTTTTGCTTGTATCTAGAGCACAGTTCTTTCAAAGGTCCACTTTATAATCGGCACATAATGCAACATGAGGAAAAGATGTCACTGGGGAAGGCAATTAGACTAACTGTGTAACGGTGGTGTAGTATTAATACTGTCAGACATACAGAATACAAAATATGTCAAGGGAAGGGCTGAAATGTCATCTTCACTTGTCTGTAGTAGTGCTATCTAAAATAAGAATTACATCAAAGATCACAGTAGACTTAGACAAACTTTATACAGAAATATAAACAAGAACAGACAGTAAAGGTGCACTGTGTAACATTTCTAGTGGAGGATTTGCTATTCAGATCTGTGGAGAGTTATTCTATAGAGTTATTTCTATTTTTTTTTTAGCAATAACCTACAATGAATAAATGCTAGGTATAAGTGTTTAAAGTCATACCATGGAGCATTCCAGGCAAAGCAATAACATCTCTATGAAGACAAGTAGGTAGTGTGTCCTGCACCAGAAAACTTGCATAGTGCACATTTAAGCAGACATTAGGTGTTTTGTGGTTTTAGATTCTGATGAATACAGCAGTAGGTATCACAAAAAGCCTGAATGTCCACAGTCTGAACTGTTCTTACTCTCCAGAGCAGAGCCGCTAATCTGAGAATCAAACATCATTTTCTGTTCGGCCACGATCCATCTGAGCTGATGGATGCATTATGTATTTAGCAATAGCAAGAAAAAGCCTGATACAGACATGAATAATTCAGTTAATGTAATTATGAAACTGAATATTTATCCTAGTAGAAATTTTACTAATAAAAAGTTACCAGCAACCTTTTTTTTTACGCGACTACCCCCTAACTCCAGAGCAAACAGCTAAAAAATTAGTTTCATGAAATTGTCAGTTATTATTTATATTATCTTATTTGACAATGTATGTCTAAAACTCACCAAAACATTAAAC